AGTTCCTGAGATTAGCGCGTTCAAACAAACAAACAAACAAACTCTTCAGCTTTATAATATTAGTATAGATGTGAAATTTATAGGTACAGGCGCTTAGAAACAACCTGGATTCGATGAAAATTCTGAAGACAACTTGTTGTGTTTAACAGAATCCTCATAATACCTTAATACAAAATACAACTCCTAATCTGACAACTTTGTCGAGTCGAATTTATTCCAAAACAAGACTGCCTCCCTTTGGTTTGATCTTAAATAAACTTCAAAGCTTTACTTCACCAATTACACAAAGCCTATTTGAAAGGCAAACGTTTTGCTAATTGCTATTTATGTAGTTAATTAACGTTTTTGATGTCTTGTCTGGAGAAGAATCCCATCTTATTCGTAAATAGAAATAATTTTACAAGTTTTTAAATAAAGTTAATGATAAAGTTCTCGTCAAATCGCACATTTAATTTATACAGATATTTTCGTTTGTTTGTATTGTGCAGTGGGCACTGCCCACCCGACGATGACCTACTGGAGAACGTATTTGTCTCTAGCATAGCCCCTAAACGGGTGGACTGAAACCGATATCATTCTCAACAAGTGTTCTCGCCACGACCTTGCTTTAATTCGTTTTTATTTACGAGTAATACCTATGATTTTGTTCTATTCATCTTAGGAAACAACCAAATTGGATCTTTGATTAAATATTGGACATAAGAACAGATAAAATTTCTTGATCTTTATTTTAGAATATTTTCTTAATTTCAATTGTTTTAAGAACGCTATGTTTATCAAGTTGTTTGCACACTGCACATCGCTGTATTGCACCTGTTAAAACTAAGTCAATAGACATATCTTATTTAGAAAACTTATAACTTCTTATCTTTTACGTATTGAACTTTTTGTCTATACAAAGCAAAGATTCAAAGATAAAATTTCGTGTTGTAAAAATAAAACATGTCAGAGTTCCGTAGTAATCATCCTCTTGCGTGAAATTCTTCTTCAGCGCTTTTGGACCTGCTAATGTTTAATACCTATTATCAATAATGCATAAAAGGTAACACAGGATGTTTATGAGACAGACGCTATCGCCTTTCTTCCCAATTAAATACCAAGCCGTAACATTGCAGGAAGCGACGGCTGATCTACTTTGATTGCTTCTATTAAACGACAGGTCAGTGATGTCTCATCAATCATCAACAGCCTTTAGTAGTCCACTGCTGGACATAGGCCTCTCCTTAGAAAGGAGGTTTTGGCCTACTATACCACCCTGACCAGACGGGTTAGTATAGGGTTTGTGTCAAGTTTTCCTTCTCTCTGCAGTGCTATTGTTTTGCGTAGTTTTCTCCGTTAGTCGGCTCTTACGACACCCACGGGATGAATAGGGGTGGTGCACTCTGTATTCTTAATCCGTCACACGTCAGTTATGTAATCAATGTTAAAAGTTACAATTATGTATTTATTAATAGTTTATATACTTGAAACAAAGAATGTTCTATGGTATTGTGTTATTGCTACTATTGAAAATACTCAATTTCTACAAAAATGTGCAATGGCTTTTTATTGACTTTTTAAGTTTTTAAGTATGCAGCCAAGCAACAAACGTTGATGTTCAAATGATCAGGTTTACCTCTCCACATCATAAAGTGAAATTCATGCAATGGCCGCGCAAATCACAAAATGATTAATTCTATGATCTGGACACGAAACATATAATTATAAGCTTATTTACGTAACGAAAATACTATGATGGTGTTAACTAAAATATGTTCAGGCCCGACACGACGACGAAGTCCTGTCATAAATGCTGTCTACGGTATAGCTAAATTATGTCAGTAACTTGATTATAATTAAGTAACTAACATAGCAGAGGAAGATTTCTTTACAGATATTTGAGACACTGCGAGACACGTCTCACTGCCATAAATCTTATTAAAAATACTTCTTAAATAACGGAATGCAGCGCAAACAGTTGCACAGATACTGATGTGGTTCCAACAAATAAAGCAAACCGCTTATCTAGAAAGTTGAATTCGTGTTGTCGAAGGCTATTGGGTCAATGGACCAACAATACCAGATTTTTTGCTTATTATAAACTAAAGTATGTATAATAAAAACAAAAAAGAAATCAAAAAAATTGCTAGGTATCATAAACTAATAGGGAATACCAAAAGACGTAAACTCATAGGTTCAAAAGGCTGCCTTTTTTAGTTTAAACATCTATTGGTCATAAGAAAAACCCGTCCACCCGATACCCGACCAGCACCACCTCGTCACTCGTCGTCAAAGGGTCCGGTGTGCCGCCGAGGCATCGTCTTCGCGTGTCGTGCCGTGTCGGGCGACTCTGATAAACTTAATTCACAAGCAATTTCAGTAACGATTTACGTTAGGACTCAGAAGCGACTTCTCTGGAGAAGGAAGAGGAGCCACTCCGAATTAGAAACGTTTTTTTTAGCTATAAGAGGATTCTTCGGATTCTTTGTTAACTTTTACATTTCTGTATTCATGCATTGGAATCTTCGGACTCGTGTGATGACTCTGTGGAGCCTTCTCTTTGCCTGCAGTTCTTGCAACTGTTGGAGATTAACTGATTTTGAAAATATATAACCCCAATACCATATTGATTAATACCGTTGCGAGTCGAAAACATTTCAACTTACGCTGAGATTTTCTAAAAAGTCTTTCCGTGTTTCTGAAGGTAGTTAAGTAATAGTTGTCGATTATGATGAATAGAATTCACAAAAAAAACGACTAGATTTAGTCCAATTATCTATACTTATAAAAGAAAAGACTTTTTTTATTGTTTTCTTTTTAAATATAATGTAGAAAAAGGTATTTAATAAAAATGATTAATTATTAGTTTGCGATTTGCAAAGTATTCACTAAAATATGTGAGTAGGTATACGTATTATACAAATACACGTCATCTATTTGTATTGTAAATTGCATACACCGAGCCAATTTATTCTTAATTTGAGGATGTTTTGTACACAGTCAAAAAGTTATGTATAATTAAATATTACGATTAATGAAGGTTAATTTAAATTAAATAATTTTAAAGTGCAATTAATATTAATCTAAAAGTTTTAATAGTAAATTGCAACTAATTAATTGTAAGTATTATCAATAAAATTTATCTTAAGTAAATTTAATTGACGTTTTGAATTTTTAATTTATAGATGTCCCAATCTCCTAAATTTATATTTAGCTCTAATGGTTCCAGAGATATCGTGATGAGTGACTATATACGTGGAAATCTCTTATATATCATAGAGTGGTCGTAGCGTACAAAGTTTACATAGATAAGTAATAATAATTAATCAATTCCCTAATTTCTCGCTGAAAGTAGTGCGTATAACGAGCAAGTAAAGGATATTAAATGGGATTACTTAAAACCTCGTCCGTGTAGTGACGGATTTAGAACACAGAGTGTCACCACCCCTATTCATCCCGTGTGTCGTAAGATCCGACAAAGCAAAGCAAACTACGCAGGACAACAGCACTGCAAAAAGAAGGAAAACTTGAAAAACAAACCCTATACCAAACCGTCTGGCCAGCGTGGTATAGCGGGCCAAAACCTTCTTTATAAGGAGAGGCCTATGTCCAGCAGTGGACTATTAAATGCTGTTGATGATGATGATGATGACTTAATATATGCCAATATGTCCAAACTAGGAATTTATTATTTGACCACTATCGGAAATCCCTTACATCTTGTTGTAGCTTGTTGTTGTACAGTTCTAGCAAGTATATGTCAGCAATTTAAGTTTATTTTTTTGCCTAATTTATACCTACTTCACGTCTGTACTGAATGAAAGTCTCCCATAAGAAAGTTTTTTGTCGACTTTTAGTATTTATTACAAGAAATTATTTAAAATTGCAAACTACGCGATAAAATAATCATTTGCGGACCTTACCTCTCGCACCATTGCCGTGGTTGACTGGCGCCCCATTCACTTTGATCGGCCTCCCGTCTGCAGTACATTTTAACAACATATTTCCAATATGATGAACATTCACTTAGTACGATCCATCCGTTAGATTAAAAATAATAAACAATACGAGCGAAGAAACAAAAACACACGACTAATGTCTTATTTTGTTTTTCTTTCGCGCCAACTGATTGGTTGTCGCGCGTGACGTCAAAGTCAATTTGAAACCACTCAAGTCGACACAAATACTTTATAAGTTAAGCTTTTTAGTTCAAAAGTAACACGTAGTTTTGAAAGTTCACAGCACACAGGTGTACAACACTTTAAATGTATTTAGTATTAAACTGCACAAAATATTACGTGTATTGTTCACTAATAATACACACACTCGAAGCAACAGGCTGCCTAGCTGACTGTAATGAAAACTAAAACTGCTGCAATTTGTGATACGCACCACGGCTGTTGCGGTTGCCGTGTTTTGATTGATAGTCGAGAAAAAATGAATGAAACTAGTGTGAAGTTTGTCACGAGAGCTCTATCGTTATCTCACTCTGTTCAAACACATAAAAGTGTAGAACTAATTTATAATTGCTACATTCTCAGTAAACACATAAGGGTTATTTCAGTATACTTACACAGAAATTTAACAAGTTAGAATATCGTCGCAACGTGCAAACTAGATTTGCGTATTACGTAAATAAATGTAATTATCGCTTATCACTAGACAAAGATACAAGATTTGCTTACCTCGTAAATTTTTCTGTTGGCAGCCTTGTATTTAGTGTTGCCACTTTTATTAATTAGAGATTCTTATTAAAATATTGTTGACCATTAAACTTAATTCAACTGTGAATTATTTAATAATATGTATGTACAAAAATATTAAATTGACTACATTAGCATCTTTTTAATCCCTTAAAAATATTGTAATATAATTAAGATCTTCTCTCTTTAAACTTCTGTAACATTTGTGTAAAATAAATGACACCACCACTTCACGCCATATTTATTTTGAACGCGCCATTTTGGGAATTTTCTCGGTGACGCTACGATTTTCAGCTTGTATTTTATTTAATTTACAAAATGGGAAAAAAGGATAAGAAAGGTGATACAAGTGACGGCTCCAGCGAAGACGAGTACGTAGTGGAAAAGGTCCTTGACAAGCGTACCGTAAAGGGAAAGGTAAATCTAGAAGCAATGTTTCATCCCCAGTATTTAGACTTTTTTCTTTTATAACCAGGCATGCCGCAATATTTAAGAAAAAAAAAGATTAAGTATTGTACTTTTACCGGTACTCTTATTATTTTCATATATAATCTACTTCATGAACTCTATTATTGAATCGGTAACCTATATAGTGTTTTACGCCACCAAATCAAGCTACGCATGACGGATGTTTTTCACAAAATTGTGTATCGTCAATGTCTAGATTATGATAGTCAAGTGTTTATTAACCCATTAAAGGTCAAATGAAAGTACCGATGTTTTTTTTAAATTATCTTTATTTTTATATTCAAATAAGTACACAGAAACACAAAACGAAAGAAAAAAATTTAGATTTCATAAAATTTCAGGGGTCGAGTACAGCAACATTATATGACTGTAGTTTTATTTTAGTAGTGAATCATTGATTGTATTGTTTATTATAACTTACTCTGACATTTATTTTATACTAATGAAATAAAAAAAATAACTTATAAACAGGAATAACTTTAAAAAATCTCATATCATTTACTTACCTCCCCAGTGTTTCGGTGACACTACTTCAACTGACACTTTTTGGCAAAAATAATCACACTAACAGCATTATACTTTTCAATATACGTGAACAGTATTATAATAAAATAAAATAACAAAGTAGGCCCCTTTAATTTTACAAGTGTTGAATTGAAATTAAAAAAAAATGTCTGTACTCAATTGAGTACAGTGACTTCTAATGGGTTAATTATAGACTTGCCTACTATATACCTCAGGGGAATAGTTCTAGAAAGTATTAAGATTTATTTGGTATATCACACATACATTATATATAAATATGTATTATATCTCTTCAAGTGTAGTGTCTCGTTTTACGTTTAGTCAACATGATACAAGTAAATACTATATAAACATGTACTAACTTAAAATTTTAGGAAATATTTCCCACTTACTTACCTTACACAAACCATATCTCTTTATTTAACATTGTTAAAACCATTATCTGTAAGTTATTCAGTTATAATTTTTCTAACACCCAAATTAGGCAGAGCTAATACCTACATATAATAGATAAAATATAGTCACAGAACATTTATTATGCTTCATCAACAGCCTTAAATAGTCCACTGCTGGAAGTGGGCATAAGCCTCTTCTTAAAAAATAAGTTTTGGCCTACTATACCACAGTGGCCAGACGGGTTGGAATAGGATTTGTGCCAAGTTTTCCTTCTCTTTGCAGTGCTGTTGTCCTGCAGAGTTTGCTCCCTTAGTCGACTCTTACAACATAAAAAAGTATTATAACAGTTGTGTAAAACGGTAGGTCTAATCTATCTAGTATATGCTTAGACCCGACTGACCGACCCGACTTTTTGCCTGAGTGAATTTCATATATGGCCAACAAATTTTTTAAAGTTTTGTTTGTAAAAAGGTGTGGGATATTTAAGTATAGGATTAGTGATTTAAAACTAAATATGGGTGGTACGGAGATGTTTCTTGTATGGTACTTTAGTGTCAAACATACTGTAAGTTTAACATAATGTTACTATGGGGTAGTCACCGAGTGGGAGAGAGGGTTAGAATTGTAGAAGGTGAATCATGTAGCATGGGTGTGCATGCATGCTATGTGATCCCTAAGGTGATAATTCTAATGATACACCTATATTTTTAAATAATTCTGTAAACAGGTAATTTTATGAAATAACTATTATTTATAGATACAATATTTGCTAAAATGGAAGGGCTATAAAGAAGAAGAGAGTACCTGGGAACCAGTTGAGAACCTGGACTGTGAGGAGCTCATCAGGACCTTTGAAGAGAACAGAAAGGAAAAGGAGGTACAGTGTTGATAAATTGTCACAGTAGTTATTGATAAGTATTCAGCATTTTTTTGAAACATGTATAGGTGGCAAAGAAAATAAAAACAAATGAAAGTTACTTTAAACAGTAGTTGTTTATCTCCATCCTTGTTATATTATCCTCTAACAGTGAGTTTTAGTCAATTAATTTAATTATAATGCTTTTTTGTGCTTAAACATTAAAAATGTCATACTGGTGGTATTAGAAACTGGTTCTTTCCAGCAGAAGTCTTCGAAGAAACCAGAAGACCGCGCCAAGAAACGCGTTCGTGAGTCAAGCGTGGAAACGAGCTCTGGCCGCAAGGGTCGCGGCACCAGCGTCTCCTCCGCCGATGAACACAAGGAGAAACGTGAGCGGAAGGATGACAAGCCTAAGAGTGGCTTCGACAAAGGTCTCAAGGCGGAAAAGATTATAGGTGCGTTTGTTCTTTTCATACAAAATTTTCATACAAATTCTTTGATATCGTCCTATATGTAGACAATAGCAACAATCTCTGTTACACAACGTGTATACAAGTGTGTTTTGATACAACATAAAGTTAGATTTGTATGATAAAAGTCTCATGTTTACTGATATTATAAACGTGAAGAGTTTGTTTAGTTGAACATGTTGTTCTCAGGAATTTGAATTAAAAAATATTTTAGTGTTGAATAGCACATTTATCAAGGAAGGATATAGGCTTATGTGACACAAAGGTCAACATGCTACTACATAAATGAAACATGTTGCAAAGAGGAAAAACATTCCTCTTGAAAGATCCAGACGAAGTGCATGGGTCAGCTAGTCTGAAATTATAGACCGTAACAGAATTATCTTTAAATGGTATAAAATGAAGTCACTGTTTTTCTTGTACGCTTAGATCTTTCAAACTATGCAACAGATTTTAATCCAGTTTTCACAAATAGAAAGAGTGATCCAAGAGGCGGGTTTATAGGTTTAATACATGCATATTATAGTAGAGGAAATCCGAGAATTTCAAAGATTTACAATGTGAAGTTGGAACGTTTACATATTACAAAAAAAATATGGTTTATTTACGAAGCTATTTTGAACAATACAGTATAATTCCTTATTCCAATTAAATACGTTAGATCGTTGTGTATTTCACGTAGATCAAAACTGCCCTTAACAGCATTATCATTAAAATGTTGTATCTACATTAGTAGTTAATATAATCATTATGGAAAATTGAGGCAGTTTTGAACATGAGAAGGGCTTTAGAGAATCTGAGAAACTTATTTATTTTTGCTATTGACCGATGGCTCACATTCTTTTGTCGCAGACAATTATATTTTATAGTTTTTAAATTCACGTGATCTTGAAATTCCAGGTGCGTCGGACGCCACGGGCGAATTGATGTTTTTAATAAAATGGCAGGACTCCGACGAGGCAGAGCTCGTGCCGGCCAAGGTGGCCAACGTGAAATGCCCCCAGCAGGTATGACGTAGTTTTCACGGTCGTGGCTTTGTGACCGAGGAGATGTGCAATAACGAGAGATGGGTGTCCGGCTGCAGGTGATCTCGTTCTACGAGGAGCGGCTGACGTGGCACACGCCGGCGGAGGAGTGACGTCAGGCGTGGAGCGGGTTCTGCGTGGCGAGCTACGTGCGCGCGTACTACCGCCTCATCCGCGCGCCCTCGCGTCCCCCCTTCCGCCCGCTGCAGTGCTAGTGGCGGGTAGCGAGCTGCACCGCTAGTGCCAGGCGGCGCCCCCCTCCCGTCCGCTGCAGCACTAGTGCCAGGTAGAGGCCCCGCCGCATCTCATTTTATTATTTATAATTGTCGGCCTACTACCCTTCTTGTTGAGCCCTCGATTTCTTTTATGTAAATGCAAAAAATGCTTTGGTCGAGAGTCGAGCAGTTGTCGAATGAATCTTAACGATTAATAGTTTTATTTTACAACATTAACGTTTCGTGGTTAAGTAAAATTATTTCTTACGAATTTACGTTATAAACCCCTTGACTGGTGGATTGCATGACTAAACTTAACTGAAAAAAAAACCTCGGCACTTATCTAGTGTCTGCAGGATAATTATTTAATGAACATAAGATTTAATTAAAACATATTAATAACTTAAAATATTGGTGTGATTGACTAAGACATAATCACATTTTACTTGTTTGAGTCCAGAGTCTGACATTTATTTCTGTGTACACAAATTAAAACTAATTTACTTAAAAACTGGTGATGCATTTGGTAAGGTTCAGTACATACATGACTTGATTACTGTAACAAGTAGGTATACATGAATATGCCAACGTTTAAAACAAAAATTCCCTTTAGGCGTAATTAAGTAATAAGTTTTTTATTGCATCTGTAAATTCGCCTTTTTGCTAAAAGGGTTATAATAGCCTTTTTGGTTGATTCTAAAAGGTAAACTTTTGTTTCAATAAATGGACAAAACTAAAACTGTTATAATTAAATACATTGCCTCTGTAAATATGAGATTAATTATTTTTAATAATAATAAAAAAATATGTATCAGGAAAAAACCCAGCCCTTCTTTTCATTGACTGAATTAAATGTATGGATTCCTATAAATACAGATTAATTTTTTGATTCAGATGTATTTTTAAAAGTTGAGAAAATTAGGTTCATGAATTTAAATATAAAATTCAAATTTTATTCAAGTCTTGAAAAAAATATATGGGCCATAATTTAAAAGGTGTCTCAGTCGTGAATCTAGTCTTAAAACTAATTGTAAGCAGAGATTGTATTATTGAACGTTACTTAAAACGAGATTCAGCGATCCTTACTCAAGTGAGTGATAGCTTATTTGAGAACGATATTTACGTCGAACTTTTAACTCAGGTATAGATTTTGACAGCTGTGATCTTTGTTTATGTGAGACAAGCTGAAACTAGTCTCAAGCGGTGATTTCTAGAGCATTTTATAGGGGAAATGAAGGTGTTTTACCATGATTTGTCTCTGAATAACTACGAAAGATTTACTTGTCATAAATCTATTCAATTTTAGTTTTTTCAGTTTAATTTCCCTTAATTGATATATTATATATTCACTGAAATTCACATTTTACACACAATACTTGTTTAAATTAAAATGACCACTTTGGGTTATGTTAAAAGTATGATAATATTCTAGTAATATAAATTAAGAACTATAAAAATAAAAACATTGTTTGACATTTCAACATGACAAGTGTTGATAAATAACTTGAATGTTCCATTATAGCCTATATCTGGTCATTTTTATTTAAATATTGATTATATTTAATTTTGGACGAACAACAAGCTTGTTAATATGATAGAATTAGTAAATTAGCAAATAGTATACTATATACTATTTGCACAGAAATTTTGTTAGTAAAAGTTTTTTTAAAATAATTAGTTGCGTAATTCAGAATAATAATGTCGATTATGCGAAAACGTAATTGAGAACAGACTGTAAGTTGAAATCAAAACTTGAAAGTAGTTTCAACTGAGTAGAACTTAAAACGCGTTCTATAATAAGGCCGATACTTAAGTTTTGATCTGCACTTAAAACTAGTTTCAGGCAATCAGAGTTCAACCGATACTTGAGACGTCTTTCAAATACGGGCCTAAGAGTCATTATCTACAACGACTGGTAACCATCTTAACCCTTCCCCAAATTACTTAGCGTCGGTGCAATGGTGGTAGTTTATTGCAATATGATTCAAATATTCACTCGTCGATGATATATTCAACAGTCTAACTGGATGCAATATATCATCGAAATTTTCCAAAAAACGTAGGTTAACAAATCTTTCTTTTATCTCATTTAGACGGTAGTATCACAAACATACTGTAAGTTTTCGATATTTATCCCTTAAATGTTAAGTATAATATTAGAACGTAAGTATACCATTGTATAATTTACAAGATCAGTTGTCTGCCTGATTAACATTGTTTAGTGCAGCGACACAGAGTATCTGCACTGCTTGTCCCGTAGTGTTTTCATAGCTGGAAATGATAGGCAGTGCAGAACGAGTAATGTAAGTGTAAATGATGTAATACCTAACAAAGCAGCCACTTTTTTGCTTAATGCAGCATTGTCGATTACTGAATACTTATATGTTTGTAAACACAATTGAATTTGACATAATTGTATCCTAAAATATTTCTATTTTAATAATTGGTCTTGAAATGTTAGTCTCAACTGTCGATAAGTTCGACAGTGAGCTGAGGAATGAGGGTTTGCAACAGAAAGTGAACGGGGTGCTTTGAACTTGCATGTAAGGGTAACGGAGATACGAAGGGAAGGATGTGAAGTTCTATTAATTACTATTAAGTATTTGTTAAGGTATCCGGGTAGAAATGTGATTTTGTTTAAGTACTGTGCGAAATGTTTCGCACTCGTATGTATGTGGAATTTATTCTGTTATCTGTGTTCTTGTAAATTTGCTTATTTTTCACACTTTTCGGATCTTAAGAGTTACTTAGATATACTTAATGGACAAGTAAAATACATTTGTAAGTAAATATTGAGTTTTATTGATCCATAAAATAATATAAGTATTGTCTTGCCTTTATCTGATAAGGTTTGAGACAAACGAACCTATATGAGTGAAGATTGCACTGGTAAAATAACTATGTAAAAAAAATATGTTAAGAAAATGGCCTTACTTTCAAGATTCATCTTTGGTGGAATTAAACAATATCCAATACATAATTGTCTCAGTTGTTTATCCCAATAAACCTTGATCACACACACAAACACAAATTCATTTCTAAGAACTATTACATATTATAGTCGTAAATACATACATAATGTTTCAATGTATCACGAATGTTTCCATTTCAAAATGAACTGTTATGTGCAGCAACGTTTCAAAACTAAAACTGATGAAAATAATAACTAAAATTGTTTGTGTTCATATTGCGAAAAAACTTATTTACGTAGTTGTAATGAAAAAATAATTTCTAATCATAATAATGTAAAGACGTTTTTCTTAAAGCTAAATACAGATTATTTCTAACAGTTTAGAGTAAATACATCAATTTTGGCCGGTTTGTGAATTGGATCATCACGGTCTAAATATGAAAGGCACTACGTAAATGTGACAAAATAATTAGGTACCTATTTAAATAGGTACCTACTACCAAATATGTTGCAATTAGTATGAAAAAAACTATTTTGTTAAGAAAACACCTATAAAAAGAAATTAGGGTAAAGTCATTTCTGACGAAAAAATAAGTCTTATTTTCAAAAATCTTTTTTTCAAGCCTAATCAATATCTGTCAGCTACTCAAAACGCTCCTAGAAATTGAATATTCTGTAATAACCAAATTATAATACTTGATAAACATTGATAACCTCTTTTCTAAGGAGAGGCCTATGTCCAGCAGTGGACTAGTATAGGCTGTTGATGATGATGATGATAAACATTGAGTTAAGCGAATGTGTATGAAAGAAAATACACGCAAAAATTACAAAAACGATTTACAGAGGCACAATTTTCAATAAAACCAGTAAAGATAGCATATAGGTACTTAGTGTATTCATAAAAACTATCGTCAAAAGTTTAATGTAATATTTATCGCTTATTAAAATAACTTTTAAATTTAATGCAATGCACGTAGGCATACTTGCCACCACACAAATGATAAAAATGATATACTCTAATAAGAGACTAATAAAAGCAGATAATGAGTATTTCAGAGACCAAACGTTCTGTAAAATAGACTAGAGTGATGTTAAACATAACTCGTTTTTGGTAAATTTTATAGTACGCTTGTGTATTATAATCACATTAACTTATTGACACTAAAAAATAACATTCGTAGTGGCCAAACGATCAGGCCACCTGACAACCGCTGTCTGTGTGACACCTGCAACTCAAGAAACAGTCTGTTCCCGTCCTTTGAGCCCCTCTGTACCTTCCCCCCTCGAATTTGAGGGTGAGGCCGACCTCTCTTCCCTGGGGGGGTAGGACTGGGTCTCTGGTAACCTCACTCACTCGGTAAAAAGCAACGCAATTTTTCCTAACAACGGTTTTCTGTGAGGCCTGGTATCATTCCGGTGGAGTCGGGTCATGTATATCTTACATACTTATGTTCATATATCCATGTATGTTGATTATATTTCTCTATATTCTAAATCGTCCCGTTCTAACTATACAGTTAATATTATATCAATACGTTATGAATAAATAGTAAACAATAATTACAATAAAAGCGAATAATTCTAGGTACTAGGTACGTGTCGACGGTGGTACACTTGGGAGGCTTGCAGTTTACGCCTGGAACTTGTAGTCGTGTTTGCTCAAGCCATTGCTGTAATATAAAAAAGCTTAATCAGTCCAAGTACATACATACACTTGCATACTCAAGATAAGCAGAGGTTTTTAAAACGCTCAAACGCCGACTATAATTTTAATTCTACTCTTATGTAATATGGAGTAAGCCTATTGCGCTAAATTTTAACTCCATCTGTAGACAAGGCAGACGATCAGTCGACAGAAGCAATACATTTATATTTGGAAGTACATATCATACACGCTCGGGGCGCACTAGAGCAGGGGTCCTTACCTGAGCTGCGCGACGTGTCCGGGCGCGGGGCGCACTAGCAGGGGTCCTCACCTGAGCTACGCGACGTGTATTGGTGCACGAGCAGGGGTCCTTACCTGAGCTGGGCGACGTGTCCGGGCGCGGTTCGCACTGGCAGGGGTCCTCACCTGAGCTACGCGACGTGTATTGGTGCACGAGCAGGGGTCCTTACCTGAGCTGGGCGACGTGTCCGGGCGCGGTTCGCACTAGCAGGGGTCCTCACCTGAGCTACGCGACGTGTATTGGTGCACGAGCAGGGGTCCTTACCTGAGCTGGGCGACGTGTCCGGGCGCGGTTCGCACTGGCAGGGGTCCTCACCTGAGCTACGCGACGTGTATTGGTGCACGAGCAGGGGTCCTTACCTGAGCTGGGCGACGTGTCCGGGCGCGGTTCGCACTGGCAGGGGTCCTCACCTGAGCTACGCGACGTGTATTGGTGCACGAGCAGGGGTCCTTACCTGAGCTGGGCGACGTGTCCGGGCGCGGTTCGCACTAGCAGGGGTCCTCACCTGAGCTACGCGACGTGTATTGGTGCACGAGCAGGGGTCCTTACCTGAGCTGGGCGACGTGTCCGGGCGCGGTTCGCACTAGCAGGGGTCCTTACCTGAGCTACGCGACGTGTATTGGTGCACGAGCAGGGGTCCTTACCTGAGCTGGGCGACGTGTCCGGGCGCGGTTCGCACTAGCAGGGGTCCTCACCTGAGCTACGCGACGTGTATTGGTGCACGAGCAGGGGTCCTTACCTGAGCTGGGCGACGTGTCCGGGCGCGGTTCGCACTAGCAGGGGTCCTCACCTGAGCTACGCGACGTGTATTGGTGCACGAGCAGGGGTCCTTACCTGAGCTGGGCGACGTGTCCGGGCGCGGTTCGCACTAGCAGGGGTCCTCACCTGAGCTACGCGACGTGTATTGGTGCACGAGCAGGGGTCCTTACCTGAGCTGGGCGACGTGTCCGGGCGCGGTTCGCACTAGCAGGGGTCCTCACCTGAGCTACGCGACGTGTATTGGTGCACGAGCAGGGGTCCTTACCTGAGCTGGGCGACGTGTCCGGGCGCGGTTCGCACTAGCAGGGGTCTTTACCTGAGCTGCGCGACGTGTATTGGCGCACGAGCAGGGGTCCTTACCTGAGCTGCGCGACGTGTCCGGGCGCGGTTCGCACTAGCAGGGGTCCTTACCTGAGCTGCGCGACGTGTCCGGGCGCGGTTCGCACTAGCAGGGGTCCTTACCTGAGCTGCGCGACGTGTCCGGGCGCGGTTTGCACTAGCAGGGGTCCTTACCTGAGCTGCGCGACGTGTCCGGGCGCGGTTTGCACTAGCAGGGGTCCTTACCTGAGCTGCGCGACGTGTCCGGGCGCGGTTTGCACTAGCAGGGGTCCTTACCTGAGCTGCGCGACGTGTCCGGGCGCGGTTTGCACTAGCAGGGGTCCTTACCTGAGCTGCGCGACGTGTCCGGGCGCGGTTCGCACGAGCGGCGCGAGGCGCTCTGTGAAGCGCGCGAAGTTCCGCTCCAGCTCGCGCTGGTACTCGCGCTGGTCGCTGCCGATCAGGTTCTTGTTCTTGCGCAGAGCGTCGTGGCACCTGACACACACACACTTATGGTTCATTATCAATCTTCTAAATGATAATATGCGTAGAATTTTTTTTTCTTTAGCTATGTTTATTTTTAGCGAAAACAGAATAATATCGATTGCGATTTATACGAGTGTCTAACAACACCATAAATGATTGATATAAGGAACAACAAAACCTGTCTGATGTCGTAATAAGCGTTTAAAATAGACTGAAAACACAATTCGAAGCGAAAATTGTTGGTTAATATAAGTTTATGTTACTATAATGCCAGATACTCTTATTATAAGTAACGAAATTTAAGTTCAGATCGATTCTTCGTACAGTCATAATATAACTTTTTGTGACTTCCAATATATTTTATAAACAATAATTTAAGGTAACCGTTTACTGTAAGAATTTAAATGACCATACTTTTTGGAGAAATCCTTGAAAGCTAATCTCAGTTTATTAGTGAGTCGTGTGGGAGGCTGCGTGCCCTCCGCCACTGGAGCCAAAAACACCTGCAACAAACAGCAATTTTCAATAAGAGTATTGCCGCATTTTAAGTACCCAGGCATGCCAACATGCCTTAGCATCTCATAAAAACCGTTTGTCGTTTTGACAAATATTGATTTGACTTGCAAGTCAGTTAATCCCTTGGTCGTTTTAAACGATTAAATATCTAATAGTAATCATTTCAGTAGTGAATTTGACACCCAAGCGAGATTTGCAGATGCAATTCCAACTCAATGTTAAGATTAAAATTCCATTATCCTTTAATTACTTCTAAACTGGAAAAAAACCTGACAATAAATAAAGTGTTTATATACTAAAGAGTATACCTGTGCAAGTTCTAGTGGTCCCTGGTTGACGGTGGTGCCGATGCACCCTTGCACGACCATCTGCAGCATCTTCGGATCAGCTGGCTCCTGGCTCGTAGCCGCCGCGAGCTCGTTTATCTATGCAATGTTGGTTAGCATATTTTAACTGCCATATGTACACAAAAATGCTTGCAAATGATTATAGGTTATATTGAAAAAAAAAAACAATTACAACCATTTTATAACTATAGACCTATCTCTAAACTGTATATATATAGCTAAAGTTTTTGAAAAAGTAGTCTATTACCAGGTATACTCTGCTCTAAAAAATGTTTTCAGTCCTTCGCAGAACGGTTTCTTAAAAGACAGATCTACTGTTACTAATCTTGCCTTGCCAAATGATTTTATCACTATGGACAAAGGTAAGCAGGTCTGGTCTATACTGACTACCTCAATAGTGTGTGTGAACAATTTGGTATTGATATTTTTAATATTAGTGTAACGGGAGCGGGCAGGTCTTTGAGCCTTAAGTTCTTCAGGGGTAATGGTGAGGGGTGAGAGTAATTATTGTTATGAGTCCTGTCTGTTTTGTGTGTTTATTGTTATATTCTGTGTAATGTGTAAGTGATCTGTGCCTGTAAACATACATGATACCTGTTGATAGTACCCTGTATTGTCTTGTGCACTGTAACTTAACTCTGATTTATATATGTAAGTATTTGTTATTGTATATATGTTTTCTTGACTGCTTTTATTTTGATCATCATAGCTGTAAATCCTCCATTGTATGTAATAAATATATAAATATGTACAAATAGTGTACTTGAATCATATTTTTTCTTACTGCAAGTTTTAAAATTTAATTGCCGAACTCTCATAATTACTATTAAAACTGTTAAGAGGTTTTTTTATGGAATTCAATATCCGACTACCGCCGCCCATGAACGCCTGCAACTCAGGAGTTACAAGCGCGTTGCCAGCCTTAGAGGAAGGAGTACGCTCTTTTCTTGAAGGTTGGTATTGTTATTTTTTGTTTATTATATACATATATCATTTACAAATTTAGTACAATGTTTTTATTATCCTTTTTTCCCTGCGAATTTATTATTTCGTGTTATTAAGTTCATTATTATACACTAGCTGTTGCAAATAATTGATAAAAGAACCATCTCTGAAGCGTGTTGTATATCGTGTCAAAATTTGAGTTCAATAGGTTCAGAACTTTTGAGTTTTTGAAGCATAGACAAACCAATTTAATATTTTCATTTATGTAGATTTCAAATTCAACTAAAAATCTTACGAAGAATATTAAAGAAAAATAAAAAAGGTAACGTTTAGACACTTGGTTGATTCTTATGTGAATGAAATAAGATTCAAATTTGTTTGGTCAAATAATATATTTACAGCGCACATACCTTTTTCTGTATGTCTTCGATGGCCACTTCTATGGGTGATAGTATTATCTGTGTTCGTTGCACGACCTGGAAGTATTTATAAAATTTTAAACTATTTTTCTTTCAAGATCTCAAAGTAAAGTAGTACCTCAAATTGTAGTCATCAACAGCCTTTAATAGTCCACTGTTGGATATAGGCCTCACCTTAGATTTTGGCCTACTATACTATGTTGGCCAGACGGGTTGGTATAGGGTTTGCTCCAAGTTTTTCCTTCTCTTTGTAGTGCTGTTGTCCTGCGTAGTTTGCTTCCTTAGTCGGTTCTTACGACACCCACAGGTTGAATAGGGGTGGTGACACTCTGTATTCTTAATCCGTCATCACACGGATAAAAGTGTAGTATTCGTTTTTCATAAACTCTATTAAACTCTGGTAGTTTTTTTAAATTGAATCAATGTGATTTTAGATTTTAAACTCGATTAATAATTTATTAATAAGGTAACATAAATTTGTGATTAGCCACTCCTACGATCGAAATTGTATCAAGGTGTGTGTGTATGTGTGAAGTAGAAAGTGAAGCAAGGTGGGTACCTGTATCCTGGTCTTGACGTAGGGGAAGTGGTGGGCGGTGGTGAGGATGGTCTTGCGCTTGCACTGCTCCGCGATGTCGCCGTGAGCGCGCCCGCCCACAGTGAACGGCGTCGCGTACATGAACCGCTCTGGAACCACACGCTACACTTAGCGAACACAAATACAACATAACCGTCGAAAAATAATGTAAATAAGTTTCTGTTTATGTAACGCGTGTCTGTCTGTACACTTCATCTTACCATTGCCATATGTGTCTATTGTTTAATCTAGCTGTAAATGTTCCATGAATGTTAAAAAAAAGAAAAAATGACATTTCTTTTGCATAAAATGATTAACAAATGATGTGTGTATTTAATTTTAGAAGTCTTAGAATTATTATCAAAAAAGTTCCTATCTGATGAGGACCTTTTTCAATAAATCAAAACTAAATTCTCAAATAACCCTCACATCAACAAACTTTAACAGTCCACTGCTGGACCCAACCCTCTCCTTAGAAAGAAGGTTTTGGCTTACTATACCACGCTGACCAGACGGGTTGGAATAGGGTTTGTTTCAAGTTTTCCTTCTCTGAATTCACGGGATGAATAGGGGTGGTGACACTACGTATTTTTAATCTGTCACCACCACGGACGCTCTAACTAGGGTTAATGTGTAACTGATATTTCCTAAAGTATTGAAACTTTTTTAAACATTCTTTTGAATTCATATGATTATGATTCTAAGAATGATAGACTTACTGATGTTATAGTTCCTCTCGTAATGCGTGACCCTCTTCCTAAGCTCGTGCGGCTCGAAGTAGGGCTCCACGTACGTGATCTGTATGTACGCCTTGTCCGGGTCCAGCGTGCTCACGTCCACTATGTTCGAGTCCTTTATGATCACCACGTTATCCACACCGAAACGGGTTCCGTAGAAGTTCTGAAATAGAAATCATTTTTTGGAAATAAATATCGCCAGACAAGAAGCTTTACACTGCCAGTCTTCTTTAATCTATTGTAATATTCTAAAGCTGAGAGATTAGTGCGTTCAACCAAGCAAGGTTTAACACACTAATCTAAACTACTAGTTCAAATTGAAAAAATATTTTAGTGTTGGATAGCCTTCTTATCGGGGAAGGCTATAGGTAATATAGCATCACGCTACGACTAATGGTAGCTGAGCATTAAAACAATTGTTGCTCCAACAAAGTTTATTTATTTTGAGAGACTAAAATTGGTGGAAACGGCATGAGTTTTGACGAGAAATTGAAAAAAAATGTGCAAAGAAATCGTTATTTAAAGTTTAAGTTGGTCACCCCCGATAAGAATATATAGAAGAAGATACAAGAGGAACTTCATAGCTGGTGCCAGAGACTCAGTGTCACTGTCGTTTCGACATGGCGACACAGTCGTGGTAACAGAGCAACATTGTCACGGCGGCAGATGTTTCATTATTCCATGTTTATCTATTCTTTCTAGACATGGAATTTATTGTTACTTTTAAATCATATTCATAATATATGAAGAAATTATTGGTTTTAGTCACAGCGATTTTACTTGTGATTGTTATTTGGTTGCAGACATGGATAAATGCGATTAAAATCAATCAAAATTCCTTTTTTTAAATACTTCTTTTTAGATTTAAGACCTTTCGCGGTTTGAAAATTAGTCACGGGTGTGACTATAAAATAACAGTCGTCTGTGATAAATCATATGATTTATAAATTACACACAGACGACTGTTATTTTATTCTCTCCCTAATTCTTTCTATGATTTATCATAAATAATATTATTGATTTCAATATCTATAGATGTTTATGAACCAGTAGTAGCAGATTCAAGATTAGCGATGTAGCCAAGTTGTATATGAAAGGGGGTAACCTCGAGCCGGCTGAATATCTCTGGCAGCTTGGTGAGCGCGTGCTCCTTGTAGATGAACTCTTCGTTGTCGAGGTCCCCGAACCTGGCGCCGTAGAACGACACGCGGAAGTACGTGCCGAACACGCGCTTGCCGTGCAACTGCTCTATGCGAGTGAACGCCTCGTTCAGCTTGCTGAAAATTATTTTAACACATGTTTATATTGTGGGGTATGTTTTTTTTAAGACAACTCCAGCGCTAGGTATATATCCTGTGTCTAGGGGAGTTTACAAACATCCATGAAACGGACACAAAGAACACCCAGACTCAGAACGTCAATTCGTGGATCACACATAGTTTCATCCCATGTGAGGATCGAACCTGCAACACTCAGCGTAGTAGAAAGCCGCGATCGCTTAAACCACTACGCTATCCGTACAGTCATTGCATTGCCTGTATTACACTACTTAAACCTAAGAGCATAGGTTGGGGTAAAGATCTAGGGTTCTAGGTTATATTTTTCAAGGGTTAAAGTATAATTAGTTAGCGCCTTCCGTCATCCATGGTCACCTAAAAGACAGTCCTTTGAGTGTCCCCCCACAGAGTGTTGCGGACAGGAGGGGGGGAGGGGGAGGTAGATTGGTTCTCCCGGTGACCTCACTCATTCAGTGAAAAGCTACGAAAGAATGAGTAAGACCAGTTTCCCTCTAAGAACTTATAAATCGTAGAGAAAGCAAACAAGGCGGCTATCGCATAGACAGAGAAAGATTTTTTTGGTCTTTGCATTTCTCCCTGCTCGTGTCACTGATTGGCTATTTTAAATGCCCTCTTCAGTATCAGCCAATCAGAGCAGAGAGAGATGTAAGACCAAAAAAATATTCTTTCTCTGTCTAATGGTCGTACGGTACCACTTACAGAGGAATATACAGTTCGCTTTTTTTATTTATATTATCTCTATGGTTTTCATAGAATCCGGGTATTACTCCGCAAAGCATGTCTCTATTATTATATTCACATTTTTAGTAATAAGTACATACACATATACATAGAACTACTAACAACCCACTGCTGTACACACCTGTGTATATTGGCTAGTTTCTTGTAGTCCCTGTGCTCTTCTGCGATGGGTATGAGCACTTTGTACACCTCGTTGACCGTCTCGTACATGCCCGCCGTCATCAGCTCACTGGCGGCGTGTTCTAACAGAGCCTAGAGATATTTAATTCACTTTAACAGCAGAATTTATAACTATTAGTAATAAGATTTTTTATCATTTCTTAATTTATTAACCTTCAGAGTTGAAGTAAATTCTGTCTTTATCCTTTATATCTTCCATTTAAATGTCTTTATGCAGACATCGAGTAAAACCAATTATATTAAAAACGTTTTACATATGGCGGCGATATCGCGTAAGATACGCCACAATGGACTATCGAATTGAGAAGTAAATCATCACACATGTGTCCCCGGGGGCACAGACCTGCAGCTCCAGGTGGGTGAGGTGGTGGTGCAGCGCGTCGGCGCAGCTCTCGTCGAGCGCATTGTGCGTGACGCGCTGCAGCAGCGCGGCGCCGCGCCCCCCCGCGCAGGTCTGCTCCGCCACCAGCGCCGCGCCGTGCACCAGGCACATGCCGGCCTCCGTGTGGTTCGAACGCTGCGAACGGTACGAACACCCGATACTTGCGATCGTCCAAAAACATTTTTAAACGACCCGACGCCTACTAATTTAATTCCCGTTAAATAATAGTGGTCCTAAAAGTAACCCTTGTGGTACTCCAGTTTAGATTGGGTCTTTTGAGAAGTAGCTGTCCAAAAATATTCAATAAAATCATTATATTAAATATGTTTCAACTCAAAATATGGATTGATGATATTCTGGTCCATCACTCTTAACGCACGATCACAGAAATTAACCGTTCATCGCATCAAAGGCCTCTTAAAATGCAGATATTCATATGAATTTAGTAGTTTAAACATCTTTTAACAGAATATTAGACCAGTACGAGCCTTGTTTAGCGAAATTAGAAATCAACTTATTTTCTAAATCAAAGCTTAAACCCAATCTTAGTAAAAATAAAACTTTTATACAAGAAAGACTTTCTTTTGCCATACCTCAGACACAGTAATTTTTAAATAATATTACACACAAATAATATTGAACACACTACAAATACGAAAAACAATTTGACTATATTTAGTAAAGGTTCAAGTTCCTTCATGACACACATGAAAAGTGTCTGAGGTCATCCGAAGATTTGAGGCTTGAGATGCCTCTGCATTCTACAAAATTTTACGACCAGTCTTTTACTGTTCAAGCTGTACGCTTGTGGAATGCACTGCCGATAAACATAAGGCGAGCGAAAACCATAAACAGCTTTAAGAAAATGGTCCAAGAATTTATGGTATCGTAATTAAGACAGCTACTTCCTCGTGTTAACGTATGATTTAAATGCTTTTCTTTTTTTTTGTTATATGTGATAGTGTATAAGTACTTATGTATGTATAAGTATTTGTTTTTATGAATATAAGTATATATGTGTATTTGTATATATATATATATGTGTGTGTATATTTCTTATCTTTATATATATAATTCTTCTGTGAGTGTGTATGTCACTGAACTTCTCTCAAACGACTGGACCGATTTTGATGAATTTTTTGTGTGTGTTCAAGGGGATCTGGGAATGGTTTAGATTCACAATTTTGTCCGCTGGACAATGTTTTTTTAATTAATTTTTAATTTATTAGTAGTTGTTGATTTTGGAATGTTTTACATTGGATCCGACAGACGGCGCTACCATCGCAGTGTCAAATTTGACAGGACAACGTCTGTCGGGTCCGCTAGTATTATATATATCTAGTTATTATCTCTTTTATATTCGTTAGTAATTAACCTGAAAAACTCATTTCACCATCAACTACTACTATCTCTCCCGAACATTTTTATCCATCCTATGGTTGCCTGGAAGAGATTGCTCTTAGCAATAAGGCCGCCCTTTGTACATTGTATATCTAACACTTTCATGTAACTATCATGCTTCTTGTAAAATGGTGTACAAATAAAGAGTTCTATCTATCTATCTAAATTATTATTAATTGCCATACCTCCATATGTTTCTGTGCCATATTATTGAGCCAAGTGAGCCTAAGATCAGGGCTGTGCTGGTATCCCCGAGCGATCCTATGCATTAAGTCTAGCAACATCTCCGGATCTTCCTGGAACTCCTTCATCTTCACCGTATCCGACAGAATCATGTGCAGGTTGAAGACCAGGTCTTTTACCTTGAAAACCATAATTCAGTTAATGACTTGTACTAGTAAATTCAAAAACAATCATGTAAAGAGTCAAGCAAGGCATTTAAAGACAATACAATTTACAATAGGGACGGTCGAAAATTGATATGAATACATATAGTGCTAAGTATACAGGACAAAGACAGAAGTTGTATAAAAAGGGCAAAAGAGATAAAAATGAATTTGATAATTTCAATCTGAATAGATTTTTTTCTTGCACGGGGTACACTTATGATATTTTCCATGGTATGAGACAAATTCGTTTCATGATATGATTATGGATTACAGATGATTATCTTGCTGAACGATACGAAATCGTATCTATATAAATAATATGTTGACCAAGTAGGTACTTTATAAATATCTTTTTTCTTTCTTTTTCTTTTTTAAAAGACAACTCTAGTATTAGGGATATATCATGTGTCACGGGGGACTTTACAAACATACATGAAACGGACAAAAAGAACACCTAGACTCAGAACAATTTGTGGATCACACATAGTGTCGTCCCATGTGGGGCTCAAACCCGCGACACTCAGCGTAGTTTGAAGCGGCGTGGCGACCGCTTAAACCACTACGTAATCCGTGCAGTCATTATTATTGGAACATTTAAGCAAAAGGTTATCAGATGTAAGTTGAAAAAGACAGAGTGTAATACTTAAAGATAAGAATAAGAAACATAACATACACAGAAGAGGATTCGTAATTCCGGACATGAACATTTACCGACACCACCAGGTTTTTAGACATACCGAATTCTTTGTAGGCACTGCTTCGGGCGAAGGCTGTCATAGATTTTTTATTATTTTACAAGTTAAAAGGCATGTTACACAAAATAGAAGGATAAATATTTCTGTATCTTTTATAATCGGTCGCTGATTAAGAAACATTTTCATTTTCTAAGATATGAGTATCTGCTTAAAACATATGTAGATTATGGGAAAATAATTCAAAAAGTATAAACCACTTTAAATTAATTAATTTTATTAGTAAAGTTAATATAATAATAGTATAAAGAAAAAAAAGAAAGCATGAAACTTCTACTTTCTTCTTGTAATTTCAATACAATTATATTTGAGTTAATAAAACAATCGTAATCCGTGTGGTGGCGGATTAAAAATACAGAGTGTTACCACCCCTATTCGTCCCGTGGGTGTCGTAAAAGCCGACTAAGGGAGCAAACTACGCAGGACAACAGCACTGCCAAGAGAAGGAAAACTTAACACAAGCCCTTTTTTTTTTTTTTTTTTTTTTTAACGTGTGGAAATCCCCTCGGACCGTCACCCCTCCGGGGTTTGCGGCGGGGTGGTGTACCCTATACCAACCCGTCTGGCCAGCGTGGTATAATAGGCCAAAACCTCCTTTCTAAGGAGAGGCCTATGTCCAGCAGTGGACTATTAAAACCAGTCGATAATCATGATACTTGATGACACATTTATAGGTGTATTACCTCGAACTTGCTTTCCAATCCATACATAGTAATTAATACCCTTTGCCATCTCATTTTCCCATATTAAATTCCACAAGTATCTGGTTGACGTTAATATAATTGGCAATATTCGGGTATCGTGTAATTGGTTTAAATAAGTTAATCATTTTGTTGTTAAATACGTCGAGTCTATGAGTCTGTATGTGTGTTCATGTGTAAGTTAAACATGAATTAGCCCTAGAGCTGTTCTGTACCTGTTCCGGGAAATTCGAGTCCTGCAAGTCGTGATCGTGCTCCGCGTACACGAGTATGGTCTTGAGGGCGCGTCGTAACGAGTCCTCGCTGAACGTAGTGGAGGTGCCCACCAGAGATGAGAGGGACATCGTCACTTGCATCTTCACTCGACTGAAGTTCTGTAAGAAGAGTTCATGTTTAGACTATAGTCAATTCGAGTTACGAAATTACTGATAATAAATGATTGTTTTGTACGAAACCTTGAAACCCAATTGGTCAGTGGAATCTAATCGGTCGCGTTAAGAAAATAGTAACGGTGCGTTACTATTTTCTTAACGCGAATGAACTATAGTTTCATTCTCGTTAATGGTTACTGCTCCGCTTCGTTAAGAATCGTGGTGTGATTAATAAATGATTAAATATTCGATTAGTTTGAAAAAAAAAAGCAATAATTGAAAATTATTCTACCTTAGGTTATCAAGTTTTATTAAAAATAGTTCATGTTCATGTGTTTGTGCTCGAATTTTTTTTATAGAGCTGGATAGAATTTTATGTATCTCTAAATGTTTAGGTCAATCGGATCTGGTCTGGTAGGTGGCAATGCCATGCAACTTTTGTGATTTGAATTCATTTTTGTCAATTTTTATTGTGTGTGTTGGAGGAATTTCTGTAGGGTGTAGAGGTGGTGTGAGGTGGTGTGAGGTGGCATACGCACGTTCCCGAGCTGGTAGTGCTGGCGCATGAGCGCGTAGAGCGTGGCCGAGGCGTGCGCGCGCGTGGCGCCCGACAGCGCGGCGCAGTGACGCAGCAGCACGCGGCAGATGCCCGACTCCTCGCCGCAGCACGACCAGCCCAGCTGACGACACGACATGCTCATTAGCTCCGATCAATACAATTGTCACATATACCGAAAACGAAAATACCAATTTTTGTTAAGTAATGAACTGCATCAGGAGAAGAATACACAAGTCGTTTGATTATGGAGTTAAAATGATAATACATACTCATGTTAAATGTAGTCAAATTCATGCGTGTTCATTGTAAAAAAGAGAACATGTAATTTTATTTGCCGGGCGAGTTGGTCTAGTGGTTAGTGACCCTGACTGCTAAGCCGGAGGTCGTGGGTTCAATTCCCACCCAGGACAAATATTGTGAGATGAGTACGGTTATTTGTTCTATGTTTGGGTGTAATTTATCTATAATATGTATGTATTTAGAAATATATAAGTATGTTTATCAGCAGTCGGGTTACGATAGCACAGGCTCTGTCTAGTTTGGGATCAGACGCCCATGTATGAAATGTGTGAGATATATTCATATTAGGTGTTTACCTATGAAATTACCGTTTTGTATGCAATAAGTGAAAGTTATTCTGTTATTCGAAGTAATCACCCATGCGATCGACACATCTTTGCCATTGGCAGTTTATTGATAAAATTCTTGTAAAAATCAGCTGGACGGGAGGCAACAAACTCTTCAAAGGCATTTTGTACTGCCTCTCGGGAATTGAATTTTTTACCCACTAAAAAGTTGTCTTAATTTTGGAAAAAGTAATAGTCGGTAGGTGCAAGGTCTGGTGAGTATGGCGGATGAGAGAGAGCTTCCAACCCCAGCTCTTGCAGCTTGGAGACTGTCTGTTGCGCAGTATGGGGTCGCGCGTTGTCGTGAAAGAGCAGTGGGGACGACCGATTGACCAAAGCTGGTTGCAGATGTGACCACCATTCCTTACATTATTATATTTACCTTGACGATGAGAGCTCGTACAGTAGCGAACATGTGCTGCAACACGGTCACGCTCTGGTTGCGCTGCAGCGCCCGCAACACTACTTGCAACGCTGCACTACACACGCTCTGCCCACATTCTAGATTGCTGCACGTCTGAACACATCAAATAATATTACTCTGACATGTTAATAGTTTCTTGTTATTTATTTATTACTAGCTGGGACCCGCGGTGTTACCCGCGTTTGTTGTTATAACCGCGGGCAACGCCGCGGGGCGAAGATAGTCTAAAAAAAGTAGCCTAAGTTACTCCTTATGTCATCAGCTATCTGCCAGTGAAATCGGTTCAGCCGTTCCAGAGATTACCCGGAACAAACAGACAGACAGACAGACAAAAATTGTAAAAATGTTATTTTGGCATATGTACCGTGTAAACATACATATGCATTTAGTAAAAAGCGGTTATTTTAATATTACAAACAGACACTCCAATATTATTTATTTGTATAGATAATACTAACTAAAGATCTACATTAAATACACAACGTATCTAACGTATTTATTTGGATAAGGAATAATAATGTATCGTTCAAAGTAGCTTCGTAAATTACCCAGTATTTTTTGTAATATGTAAAAGATAAAAACGGTTTCTGAGGGGTATCCTTAGGAGTTTAGTTTAGGGTTTAGTTTAAGATTTACAATCCCATGGTACGTTCACATCACATCACATCAACAGCCTTTAATAGTCCACTGCTGGACATAGGCCTCTCCTTAGAAAGAAGGTTTTGGTTGATATGGTACATGGCACAATGGTACGTTATATTGTTCTATCTCGTAAGGTTTAGGCAGCGTTTGCAAAGTAAGCGCACCAAAAAATGTTTTTTTACAACTTTACATTACAAATCTTTGAAGTTTTCGGATTTCCTCTACTGTAATATGCATGTATTATACATATCAACCCCCCTTTTTAATTATTCTATCTATTTGTGAAAACCGCAATAAAATCCGTTGTGTATTTTAAAAGATCTAAGACTTCATTTTATACTACGTAAAGATACGATTGTTTTATTGTTGGTCGTATGTAGTATTATGTTTTATTATAAAATTATCTTTTAATTTCGATTTCTATTCGAATTATCTTTTAGAACTGAGATATATTACCTGAAGTGAATTACGTAATTTATGTTAATGCTCAAAATTAAAGAAATAAAAAATAGTTTATCGTATTTATTTTTTAAACTTTTTTGTTTGTGTTGGGTTCGTGTGGTGTCACTACCCCTTTTCTTCCCGTGGGTGTCGTAAGAGTCGATTAAGGGAGCAAATTCTGCAGATTAACACTGCAAACAGAAGCAAAACTTGAAACAAATGCCATACTAACCGGTACAGGAGGCTAAAACTTATTTTCTAAAGAGAGGCCTATGTCCAGCAGTGGACTATTAGAGGCCGTCGACGATGTATTTGGCTAGGAACGGTTTCGCGTATCGAATCCGTTATACATGATCGGCAGTCCTTCAGCTTAGTCGTTCCGCTATTGTCTTTTTTTGTTGTTGTAACGCAAACATGACAAATAGTGTGTTATGACGAGTATACGTGTTGTATATAATATACGTGTAGTGTATTACGGGCTGGCTAGCAGATACCGTGCGTACCTGCACGATGGTCTCGAGCGCGTGCAGCAGCGTGAGCGCTCGCTCGGCGGCGAGCGCGGCCGCCAGCGCGGGCAGCGGCGCGGCCGGCGCGTGCGCAGCCTGCTTGGCGCCGCGCACCCACTCCTTGCGCCAGCGCTCGCGCCGCCACGCGCCCACCGCGCCACCCGCGCCACCGCCCGCCTGGCCTGTCGGGGCGCCCGTCAGTACTCACTTGTATATTTTAAATAGATACATAAAAATGTAATTACAAAAGAACAAATATTTGGTAAAAATATTATAGCAGCCAGAGGCAAATTAAACAGACAACTAAAAACGTTTTGTAACGGATTGTAGATGTGTTGATGTGTCAATGTTTCGATTACCCTGACGAGACATTAAAGACTCTTGATAAACGATGTCTAAAAATAAAAGTCTCTAAAACTATTCCAATAAGCGAAAGAAATTAAAAACTTGATTAATTATGTGGAAATTTCAGTAAAAATACTGTCAATCAAAGCTCAAAGGATGCGATAGGTCAATTATTCAATTAATTTTATATTGTAAATGAGGTTCACTGCGCATTGATATAAAACTATCGAATGCACAGGTTTGCTCGTACAATACCACACAAAGTAAAACAGAATGACGTAAAAAGAAAATGAACCTAAATACATTAACATAAGAGTTATTTATGTTTAGTGAAGTTACTATTTTCTACTCACCTTTGCGTCTCATTATAAAGTCAGACCGCGCAGAGCCCTGTCCCAATATAACGTCTTCCAGCTTCGCCTTGATGTCCGTCGTCTTGCGAACATTCTGCTGCGTACACTTCATTATCTCCTTGCGACCCTGAACATAGGAAATGTAAAAATTATGCTACTGATAGCATGTGTATATATAACATTTTTTTTATGTTAGAGGGGGCAGACGAGCAGACGAGTCACCTGATGGAAAGTGACTATCGCCGTCCATGAACATCTGCAACTCAGGAGTCACAAACGCGTTTCCGGCCTTTTAGGAAGAAGTACGCTCTTTTCTTGAAGGTATCGTATCTTAAAAAACATAATAATTTTATGGTTTTGTTTCTTCTTCCTATTAGCCTTTTTTCCCAAACTAAGTTGGGGTCGGCTTTACTGGGTGCGATGGCTGCACATGCTTTCCGAGGCACGGAGGGGTCTCAATATGTTAAGAATCGTCGCCAATCCATAAACTGACCTGATTAGGATTGCTTTACTTTGCAATGTGTTAACCTATTAGGTTACCACTTAACCACGAGCTCCTTTATGTTATTGTTTATTTAGCCAAAAGATGTTCAAAGTATGAAATTTTATGTATTTGTTTAAAAAAAATCGACTTCAAAAAAGAAAAAGTTTTTTTGTTTGTTATCTACGGATCGGATTGGACCGATTTTTTTTTATTTGATGTGGGTTTATTTCCCATTTGATCCCATTCAAATCTGAAGAAATAATACCACCGTTTAATTGGATATTGGGTGGAAAATTAAGGGACGAAAAATACAGCTGCCGACCAAGAGAAGAATGACCTCTCGGTTCGAAGCACTTGTCCGAAGAGTGTGTAACGGGTACCTTGTACTCCTGGCACTTGAAGCAGAGGTCGATGAGCGCCAGCAGCGCGTGGAGCCTGGCGGGCGGCAGGTCGGCCACGCACGCGGCCAGGGCCCCGCGCTCCACGTTCTTGAGCAGCCACACCAGGCACATCAGCAGGTTGCGGCTCGTCTCGCTGTTGAACGGCGGCCGACCGTTCTGACACACAGTACGATCAAAACTATCATCACTGATATTCCTATTAATAATAATAATAATTTCACACATCTCACGCACGGCCGTCTGATCCCAAACTAGTAACCGGACTTCTGATAAACATACTTATATATTTTTAAATACACACATAATATAGATAAATTACACCCAGACACAGAACAAATGACGGTGCTCATCACACAATATTTGTCCTGGGCGGGAATCGAACCCACGACCTCCGGCTTAGCAGTCAGGGCCACTAACCACTAGACCAACAGGCCCGTCAAAGGATATACAAATTCTGGGACGGGACAGGAAAGGACAGAACGATCGGGATCCTTTAGGGCTGTGTGGCGAATGAAACTGATACGATAGCTTCACTTATAAATAAAGAGTTTTGCCGGTTCCAAAATTAATTGGCAATACACATCCGATAAACCGGTATAAATCGCTTCATATAACATACACATGTTCAATGCCTTAACCAGTAGGTTACCGGCGCTTGATGATTTATATTATTTTCAGTGTTATTTTCTCATTTTATGTAATATTTCTACCAACTATTTTTTTCTACTTTATTTCTAGTGTTATTTTTTTTTTGACTGGCCAGTTGGTCTAGTGGTTAGTGGTCCAGACTGCTAAGCCGGGAGGTCGTGGGTTTGGTCCCCACCCAGGACAAATATTGTGTGATGAGCACGGTCATTTGTTCTGTGTCTGGGTGTAATTTATCTATAACATGTATGTTTTTAAAACTATATAAGTATGTTTATCAGCAGTCTGGTCACCATAGCACAGGCTCTGCCTAGTTTGGGATCAGACGGCCGTGTGTGAGATGTGTGAGGTTATTATTATTATTAACTCATGACGTTAAAATATGATTTAAAATTTCTGTAGCACTTTATATACGAGTCGTTAAATTGTGTAAATATTTACAATTTAAAATAAGCAAACAGAGCATTTACCTGTTTAAACTCCCCTTCTGGAGACGAGGCGGTGTATAGATTGCTGAACTGTCCCAAGTCACTGTCCAGTTGGAGCGTTTCTGTCAAGAAGACATGGTTTACAATTACAATTTGACCAAAGCCGATGGTTGGTAGGTTGGTATTTATCTTTTTTTAAATACAACTCCCGCATTAGGAATATATTCTGTGTCTCGGGGGACTTAACAAACATACACGAAACGGACACAAAGAACACTTAGGCCCGTATTTTAAAATACGTCTTAAGTGTCGGTTGAACTCTGATTGCCTGAAACTAGTTTTAAGTGCAGATCAAATCTTAAGTATCGATCTTATTATAGAACGCGTTTTAAGTTTTATTCAGTTGAAAGTAGTTTCAAGTATTGATTTGAACTTATAGTCTGTTCTCAATTACGTTTCCGCATGATTGGCATTATTATTCCACATTACGCAGCTAATTATTTAAAAAATAATTTTCTTTTACAAAAGTAATTTCTGTGAATTTGTATATAATATACTATTGGCTAGTGTAGCAATGTTAACATATTAACAAGCTTGTTGTTCGTTCAAAATGAAGTATAATAAATATTAAAATAAAAAAATGACTAGCTGTATGAATAGGCTATAACGGAACGTTCAAGTTATTTATCAACACTTGTCATGTTGAAATGTCAAACGATGTTTTTATTTGATATTTCTAAAATTTATATTACTATACTTTTAACATAAACCAAAAGGTTTTGGTAATTTAAACTGGTATTGTGTGTGTAAAATGTGAATTTTGATGAATTTTATATCAATTAAGGTAAACGAAAGTGAAATTGATTATAGTATGCCAAGTAATTCTTTCGTAAATAAAGTAAAGTAAATCTTTCGTAATTATTCAAAAACAAATCATCGTAAAACAATTAATTTCCCCTGAATGCTCTAGAAATCACCGCTTGAGACTAGTTTCAGCTTGTCTCACGTAAACAAAGATCACAGCTGTCAAAATCTATGCTTGAGTAATGATTTCAACATAAACATCGTTTTAAAATAAGCTATCATTTACTTGAGTATGGATCGGTGAATCTCGTTTTAAGTGACGTTCAACATTAAAATCTCTACTTAAAATTAGTTTTAAGACTAGATTCACGACTGAGACAACTTTTAAAATACGGGCCCCAGACTCAGAACAACAATTTGTGGATCGTCCCATGTGAGTGAGCGGCGCAGTCGTACCCTTGTTGCCGGCGAAGCCCCGGTAGAGCTGCGGGTGCGCGTCCATGATGACGGAGAGCAGCGGCAGGTAGAGCGCGGCCGCGCGCGCCTTGAGGTCCGGCGCGGCCAGGCGCGGGTCGGCGTCGTGCGCCGTCAGCAGCGACACCACGCCGCTCACCGCCGCGCACTGCAGCACTGGACTCCTGGAATACCGTAGCGTACACTCGACGCGAGCCCCGTCTAGCGATATAGGCAACGAGAGAGATGGATCATAGATAGTTCCCTCTATCTCTTTCTAGTCGAACTCTATGTTTGGCAGCGGAAATTTCTCATCTCCCGCCTGTTCTGCGATCAAAACGATGCCCACTTCACGATAGTCAATCGCAGCTTAGCTAAACAGAGACAGAGGGAACTATCGAGCAACGAGAAAGAGATGGCTCTTTCTCGTTGCCTGTATCACTTCTACTCACAGACAGCTGTACCCCGTGTTCTCTCTATGATCAATATTTACATTTTTTACATCTGTCAGTATCTAATAGTAGCAATAGGGGTTCGAAACTAAGTGGTAACCGAGTAAGTTAACACATTGCAGAGTTAAGCAATCCTAACCAGGTCAGCCTATAGATGGAAGAGCATTCTTAACATTTAGTGACTCTTCGTGCTTAAGAGCACGTTAGCCTTCGATCCCAGCTGTCATAAGAATCATCTGTAGCAATAGTTATGGCTAGGTGAAGCTCTAAAGTCCGACAACAATCGGTTTTTCTACAAAACTTCAATATCACCTAATACTTAGGTTATGGAGGGCTGATGGTAGTCGTTCCACATAACAAATCAAAGTTCAACCGTGTCGTAATTTGGGAAAAGATGGATATACCCATCATTACATCACATCAACAGCCTTTAAAAGTCCACTGCTGGACATAGACCTCTCCTTAGAAAGGAGGTTTTGGCCTAATATACCACGCTGACCAAACGGGTTGGTATAGGATTTGTGTCAAGTTTTCCTTCTCTCTCTTTCTCTCGGATATACCCGTAGGATGATAATTTTATTAGAGTCTAGTAGTCCGCTCCAAAGTAGATTTACATGTGACCTTAGTTCATTAAATCCTCATTCCAGGAAACTTTATATCTAGAGAAAATAAATTAGGAAGAATTGTATTAACAAAAAAATTCAAGTTACCAGTAATTTATGATCAAGATTTACTTTGTATTATAATTTAGTTTGACGATAAATTGAGATAAGTCTTCTTTTGGTGATAACAAGCTTAATCTTACATTATTTACACAAAATTTAAATGTAATTTATGGTATCGGTATAGTACGCGCCATATAACTCTGCGTCAACGAAGTTCTCGCGAGAAGCGCTGCAAAATGATATTCAAGGTATCAGAGGAGTCATTCAAGGGGTCAATAGTGCATCTCGCTCTAACACATTAGCACGTTAAAGCAAAGCAGATATGTCACCTGCTTTGCTTTAACGTACTGTTGTGAACATAATTGTTACATTTTTTTTAAATATTGTTATTTGAGTTAATAGACGAAGTTTTGAACTTAATTCTAGAACTGTCTATTCTTTGATAACGTTTTCCCTAGTAGTCCGGAGTTGTTACCAAAAGCGTGATATGTATTTTACTTCTTTGCCACTATAGTATTTAAAATATTAACGTAATCGTTCGGATTCAGATACACATGTACATTATATATTCGTTACAATTCTGAATTAAATAAATAGATTTTCAATATTACTTGTTTGTAGCCTAATAATTTACACTTTTTTTTTTGGTATAAGGGTGCAAACGAGCAGGCGGGTCACCTGATGGTAAGCGACTACCGCCGCCCATGGACACCTGCAACTCAAAAGTCACAAGTGCGTTGCCGCCCTTGGAGTCCAACTCGCTCTCGCTCAGCGGGAGGGGGGATTTGGGCTGCGGTAACCTCACTCACTCAGTGAATGTATCAAATATATAAAATGTTCTCAGGTTCAGTACGTTTGTTTGCGAGTGTACCTGCGCAACATTCGCGTATTATATGTATTTGTGTCTTATGTGTGAGTGACAGTAATGTAGTATTGAGAAAATAATTTTGTAAAAAGCCATTTCAAGTCTGTCAATATAAATACTAGTCCCGGCCGACAGAAGCAGGTTTAAGGTCAAATCGTGGTCATCAGAAAACAGATGCAAGACTCACTGAAGGTCGAGCGCGTTGGTGAGCTCAGTGAGCAGCAGCCCCGCGAGGTAGTGGCGCGAGCGGAACTCGTGGCCCAGCGCGTGGCTGGAGTGCGAGCCCAGCGACTGCCACGAGGCGGCCGGGGACACGCCCCCCCCAGCGCCGCCCGCCCCCCCCGCCTGCGGCAGGTTCAGCGACACGTAGTGCTCGTGCGAACACACGATGCGCAGGAACGCGAGCTGACAACCGATAATAAAATATCTTGGAAATCAAATTGTATATTGGCAGTTATTCCGCTATTATTAAAACTAAAAAGTCGACATAAGACACCGAAATAGTAACTTTTTCGATATTGATCTGTCGTATCGATTATTATTGTAGATAATTCTTCTTCTTCCTAATTTCCTAATTTCCAACCCCTTAAATTTTGTCCGCCCAAAATTCCACCACAGCCACGGCATTGTCCGTTGTTTCAAGGAGCCTCCCCGCGGCTCATCTAGAAGCAGCTAGACATATTAACGCAATGTCTAGGCTGACTAATCCTCTTAAAACAATGGTTCGAACACCTAATGGTCCATTGTAGATAATAAAACCCTCGTAACGTATCCTGATCATAACTAATATTGTCTATGAGTTAGTATGTTTGTAACGCCTCCACGCCTAACTACACAACCGATTATCATGATAAGCACACATGTTGCCAGTATCACAAAAAATACTGGAAAGCACTAATTCAGAAAAATATTTCTCACAATTTTAGAAAAAAAACACTTTCAATTTTCCCCCTTCTTCCAAATAACTTCCAATTTCTAATTCTCTAAAAACTTTTTTGCAATTGTTACTTGCATTTAACATATAAAAAATAGAAAAAAAAACAATCCATTGGCTTTTAATTTACCACATTTGATTTTTATTAGCATAAAAAACTAATGTAAAACTTAATCGATATTTTTGTTATGTAATTAAACAGTTTTGGATAAAATTCTGCATAAAGATAGATTGTAAAAGCGATTAACATTCTGTTACACAACAACTGTTTAATTCTTTTGTAAGCCGGTTCTGGGTTTCTTCCCTTAGTATATTCACGAACCTTATATTGAACGAGGGGCACAGCGTCTGGCAGAGATGCGATCTTGGCGCACATCTGCTTGTAGTAGTTCCGTATGAGGTTAAACACGTAGCCGCGGTCCATGATGCTGAGCAGGTCGAATAAGAAGAACGCCAGGCTGTTGTTTAGGCTCTGTGTTAGGCGGCTGTCTTTGCCGTACCTGTGAATTATTTTTTAAAGTAGAAATGCCCATATCTTCATCAACAGCCTTTTATAGTCCACTGCTAGACATAGGCCTCTCCTTATAAAGAAGGTTTTGGCCTGGTATACCACGCGACTCAGAAAGGAGGTTTAATCAAAGTCTCTAATAATTTATGCATTTCGTTCATAAATTACAGAATTACTTCCGTGCATCATTCTGGTATAGAACTCTTAGAACACGCGAAAGCTTATAACAAAAATTAAATCCATGAAATTGGTTGATAAAGAGAAAAGAAAGAGAAACAGTAGTCTAATACTCTTTTACGTATAAACATAGTCTATAATTTATACGAGCTGGTACATTCACAATATGTCAGAAATCTGTTTAATTCGTGTATACATAATAATAATTATATATTCTTAGTAGAATTAAAACCTTAGTACCAAGTACATGTTTACTCATTTAACTTAGCATTATCAAATATCGTCGGGAACCAAACAACCTACATTTTTTTATTTTTCTTTTTTTTAAAAGACATCTATCGCATTAGGAATATATAATATGTCGCGGGGGACTTTACAAACATACATGAAATGGACACAAAGAACACCCAGACTCAGAACAACAATACGTGGATCACACAAAGTGTCTTCACATGTGGGGTTTGAACCCACAACACTCGGCGTAGTAGGAACCGGCGTGGCGACCGCTTAAACCACTACGCCATCTGTGGGAATTGACGAGATCGATATGTATTACATTTCATAGTCGAAAATGTGTGAGAAGATTAAGAACCTTCTACCATACGGACTGGTCAACAGTAGACTTGCACCACTGGGCACTGAACTATCTGTTGCAAATGTACCTAGTCGTAAGGTGTTATGAAGCTGACCTGGATATGATCTCGGAGGTGACGTTGTTGACGAGGGTGGTGAGGTCGTCGGTGAACTGGTCGGGGAAGCGCGCCTTGCGCCTCGCTTCGTGCGCGCCGCTCCAGTACAGGTACTCCACCATGGACTTCACCATCAGCTCGAACAGCGACCTGTACACGTCGCCCACCGTTACGTACGAAAAATATTGTTATCTTTATCTCGTCCTCATAAGGAACTAACGAGCAGATGCAACTCAGCAAGAAGGGGACTTTGGGTACTCCCTCAGGACTTCAGGGTTATCAGGTTATTCAGGTTTCTCCACTCACCAGGTGTAATCCAACGAAAGAATTGTCGAACGATGAATTCCCGTATTATGAATTACGTACTAACCAAGAATTCTGCATGGCGAGATCCCTGGTGGCCCCACTCGCGACCACCCACTGTAGTGCTATTTCTTCGTGTAAAATCTTGCAAGACCCGTCTGTCATCACTGAAATGAATATGAAACATTACAGATTGTCCAATTACTGGATTAGTTTTCCAGATTAATAGAGGACAAATTATATTAAGGAGATTTATTGTCTGTGGAGGAACGAGTGGTATATCTCTCCAACACTAGACGAGGATTCTTCGACCAAGCGAGATGATGAAGCCCAACGGTTGATGATGGAGAAGAGACTTCTTTCAAACTTGCATAATTCTGAGTTTTTATGGCTCAAGCAGAGGTATTTTTGTGTAATTGTAAATTTGATTAAAACTATAATACTAAATACTAACGGGCCTGTTGGTCTAGTGGTTAGTGACCCTGACTGCTAAGTAGGAGGTCGTGGGTTCGATTCCCACCCAGGGTAAATAATTGTGTAATGAGTACGATCATTTGTTTTGTGTCTGGGTGTGATTTATCCATAATGTGTGTTTAGATATATAGGTATGTTTTTCAACAGTCTGGTAGGTCTGTAAGATTACTATTATGTTTCGTTTATTTCTTTAGCAGTGATCGTTAATTTTGTTCAGCGATAGGGTTCAGGCAGTCAATGGGTGTGGTCCATACCGGCGGGAGGCAGCGGCAGGCCGATGTCGCGGTCGGTGAGCGAGGGCCGGGGGATGGTGCACTGGTACTGGATGTACGTGGTGATGAGCCCGCTGCGTCCGTGCGAGTCGCACGTTGAGCCCTCGTTCATGTTCTGTTTAAAAAAAGTAAAATTAAGGATAGACGGTTTTACTCTGGTGTGTATTTCGGGAATTAGTGGTTTGATGTAGATCAAACATGTCGTTTGAACCTTTTAAAAAGGGACTTCTTAGGGGTTAACCTTAAGGATTTACATGGGGTATCCCCAACGGAGACACATGTCAGTAAAATTGTTTAATTATAAAATTAATGTAACAATATTCTGACCTATTTCTTCTTTATACAAATGAGTTTGTTTATTGTTACTCTGCGAACAATGGCCTGAGTTATATTTTTACTACTGTATATGAATCGAATATGTAATTTTGGATAGTTTAAACTTTAACATGTATCTGTTTTTGTTCCAAATAAAGAAAATATAATAAAAACACTCTATTTGTTACATAAATGAGATCGAGAAAAAAAAACACTGCGATTAAGACACAAATATAGTTCAGAATATTAAAAAAAAGAATATACCGACCGATATATCAGTGAACAGGTTCGCGAGGCAGGTGAAGACGTCCTGCGCGATGTTGAGGGTCTGCCCGGCCAGCACGGGCGGCGCCACCAGCAGGTGCAGCAGCTTGTCCAGCACCACGGGCAGGTAGCGCGCCACCACCTCCACATTGGCCTTCGGTAAGTCGGTTATGCTGGAAATATTTTACAGGTTTTTATACACTTGGTATTCCTATTTACATGCTTTATATTAGCTTCACTTGTATGTTTGTATGTTTTTTGTATGTTTGTTTGTAACGGACTCCTTTGGGCGTGATTATGACTGACTTTAAACGGTCAGAATTCGTTCAAACTTTGTAGATATATCGAGGACCGATGACAATACACTAATTAAAAAAAAAAAACAAAAAAAAAAAAAATAGTTTTAAAAAAATAAAAAAACACGCTTGCTAAAAAGGCCGCTGTTTTTTTAAGTTTTGAAACCATCACTTGCGAGCAAACTAAAATGGTTTTAAAACTTTAATTTTAATTAAGTTTTAAGTTCTAATCGTTTGCCACTACTGTGGCAAACGATTATTTTACATCTGAGGAAAGTCTTGGTTGGCTCTAAATTACTAAGGAATTTAAATTTGATTTTTAATTCTACTTTTAAGTCTTACAACGATATGAAACAGTTTTTAGAAGTTTTATGTTTATTTTTTATAATACGATACGTACCTAGTACGTAGCTCGGCCTCCATATTGGCAAGACCGATGCGAGGCGGAATATTGCCTTCTTGGACCGCCTCGCAAGCCTTCGCAAAGCGTTCTATGTAGTCGTCCTGTAATACAAAAATTTCATGATATGTCATCTCTAGTTTGTAGTTAATTGTAATTATTAAGAAAGTAAGTGTGTAATTTGGTAACCTGATGTTAAGTGACTATCACCGCCCAAGAACACATGAAACTCAAAAGTTACAAGGACTTTGCTGACCTGTTGCTGTACCAATAATTAAAGAGATGGGACTGACTGCACGGGTGGTAGTGGATTAGGCGGTCACCTCGCCGCTTCCTACAGCGTTGAGTGTTGTAGGTTCGTTCCAAACATAGAATAACATTTTGTGTGATCAACAAATTGTTGTTCTCAGTACGGGTGTTCTTTGTGTCCATTTCATGTGTGTTTGTAAAGTCCCCAGCGGCACAGGATATCTTCTTAGTGGGGAGTTGTCTTTTAATAATAATAATAATAATATATGTTTAGTCGCGTTGAACGATGGCGGAAACTTGCGACGGGTATGTTATAGCTCATTAGAGCCACACAGCACCAGACCAGCACCGCCTCGCCTTAGCGGTTAGTATTCTTTGTATGGAGTACTATGGGTAAACGCTCACTACATCAACGACCTAAGTCCAAACATTCTTCGAAATTATCTTTAACGCTAAAAAATACGTAAACATACATAGGGTTCGGCAGTGGGTTAAACTGATAACTATAGTCCATCAACGTCGTGCGCGACCGTCCTGCGGGGTGACAGACGGTGGCGGGGACGAGGTACTCAAGATGTCAGCGGGTAGCGGGTGGTGTAGCAGTGAAGGGAATCGTGTGTAGCCGTGTGTTAGAATGACGCGCTACCTCTCCCCCGCCACTGTCTGTCACCCCGCGGGACGGTCGCGCACGAGATTGCCGGGTTATAATCTAATAGTTATATCATCTTACCAAGGGATGAACAGTAGTATGAGCATCCAAAGTAATACTGAAGATAGGTTTGTGGTTGTCGATCCACCTGGTGCCCGGCAGCAGAACTTCAGGGGAGATGTACGAGTAGTTCGCTGGGGGCTCCTCTTGCATCACGGGCAGGTTGAAATCACCGCTCGCCAGTTTACCGTTGCGACACAGAGGGAGCCACTGGAACAAGGGTATTGATGATACTGACAACGTTGTACAGGAGAAGGCAATTGTTTCCATTATTTGTAAGGGTGCATCCAAGTCCAAGTCTTAAGAGTTTCTGATAAAAGAAATTGCCTGCAAATCAAGAGACAGAACTCGCGATAGACCCACATTTTATTTCCTATTATGATATTTACCTTTATACGTCTAGTTCACTTGTTTTTTTTGACATGATATTTGTATATACACATCATTTAATAATAATAATATATCACTTTATTGTACACCAGATATAAATATACATAATTACCTAAAACTAGTTCAGTACAAGTGGCGGCCTTATCGCCCAGAGGCAATCTCTTACAGGCAACCGTGGTATGGAGAGAAAACATGAAGAGGAGGAGGTATTGGGTAGTTGCTGGTGTGTTAGGAAAGAAGAATAAGAACTTCATTTAAGACTTCTTTATAAAATATTACAGTTTTTTTTGGTAAAAATGTGAACGATTTATGATGTTTATTGGACACTGTAAAATTCATATGTTTACATTGTCCAATACACATTTTAACCACCTGTCAAACGCTTTAAATGTTTTTTTTTTCTGTTCCCTTTATTATCACTACCCCGCTCCTAACACTCTTAGCATTATGTTAAATGACATATACATACCTTTCTCAAGCATAGGGCTGTCAAATAGAAAAAAAATATGTATACTACTTCCTAACCAGAACCAAAAACTCTAGAGCTCTATCATAGATATAGATAGTCTATGGTTCTCACCGAGTATCCAACAGGAGTCTCAACATTCTTCTCCTGGTCGGGCGCGACGGGTTTCCTTTGACACGACACGTGTAAGAACGTGAACAGTAGATGGTGTTGGTCTCCCAGGTCAGCTGGCAGCTTGATCTTTATCTCATCGTACAGAGATGGGTTTCTGTAACAAAATTATGTGATAGTAGCTTTTCCCGTGGCTCCGCCCGCGTGTATGTCGGTTATCGCGGTATAAAGTAGTCTAATGTCCTTCCTCAAGAATCAAACTATCTATCTATCAAATTTCATCCAAATCGTTTCACCGGTTATTGATTCTTCATACAAATTGTGATGAAGTTCGTTATTTTCAAAGTTAAAAACACGAAATAAGAAGAATTCACGCATGTGAAACCACGGATAATAGTTAGTATTGTATAAATAACTTTCGTTTTCTGGATAATATTTTCATCATTAATTATAGACTCAATGAAACTGACTGTCGTTCGCTCACCCATCCTTTGCCCGGCAAGTGGACACGCGGCAAATAGTAGGGTCTACAGTTTTTTTCTTATGGTATACGGGGTAAGTTTCTTTTGGTATATTTGGCAGGAGACCAGCATTGCTATTATCTAAGGAAACAGACTTGCGTACAGCGCTGTCACAGCGTCGAACTTTAAACTAAGATGTTCAACTGCAGATGGCAACTTAACCCACTAGGTGAAAAGTAACGACACAATAGATTAACATCGGTTTTTTGTGAGGCCCTGGTATCACTCCATGTCTCATGCTCTCCCACGGTGCGAGCGAGCCCTGGCAGAACAAGAAGTAGCTTACAGCGTTTTAGGAAGGGTGTGTTGTTGTTGAGAGACAACTACGCAGAACAACAACACTGCAGAGAGAAGGAAAACTTGACACAAATCCTATACCAACCCGTCTGGCCAGCGTGGTATAGTAGGCCAAAACCTCCTTTCTAAGGAGAGGCCTATGTCCAGCAGTGGACTATGAAAGGCTGTTGATGTGTTTTGTGTATCACTAACTAGAAGCATTGTAACTCTTGTGTTTAGAATATGGTAGATGACTGTCACTTCAAATCGGTATCTTTTCTTAAACGTCAAACGATTCATTTTTGTATGAAATACTATTTAGTGACGTCATACCTAGCTATAGTCAAATCATTTATATTTAATGTTGATATCAAGATGTCAAATAAAAATATTAAATTGAAAATGGAGGACAATTCAGACTCCACTTTAAGATGTAAAATTTAATAATAGAGATAAAATAATTTATTTTAAACCTAGGAATCTACACTATTATACAGGGGATTTCTAATAAGTTATTAAAATACATATTAAAAACTAGCTTTTGTTCGCGGCCCCGTCCGCATGTATGTCGGTTTCCCATACAAAACTTTACCCTCCCTTTTCTGAGGTAAAAACTATCCTATGTCCTTTCCCGGGACTCAAACTATATCTATACAAAATTTCATCTAAATCGGTTCAGCGGTTTAAGCGTGAAGAGGTAACAGACAGACAGACAGACACACTTCCGCATTTATAATATCAGTATGGACAATGTATTTCAACGAGACTTACTTATTATGATAGAGGACGGTGGTGTACGCTTCGTTGGTAAACTCCGGACAGGAACTCCGTCCAAATATAGCTGGTAGTGCCAACTCCTCACTTTCACCAGACATCAACTGTATTCTCACCTAAAACAACATACAAACGCTTTTCTAACTAGTATAAGTAGGTCGTTGTTTTTTTTCGTGTAGGGGAAAAAGAGCAGACAGGTGACCTGATGGTAAGTGACTACCGCCGCCCATAAACATCTTTTTTTTTTATGATCAGCAAAGATGACAAAAAGCCTTTTGCTTGCCTATACTAATACAGTACAAACTTACGGTTATATTTCTTGCAGAGCCCGTGCGAGAGGTGTACGCATTGAGGTTGATCTCCTTCACGCTCAGGAACAGCAGGTTGCGGTACTGGTAGTGAGGGACCGCTGGAGGGTGCAAGGGGAATGGCAGGATCTCCTTGCACGGTCTCACGTTGTCATCTGAAATTAGCATATTTTTTATTTTTACTCTGAAATATTAATTAAGTCATGTTATGTTAATTACGGTAATTAAATGGTATTCGATTAAGAATATTAAAACCTCCATGTATATTATTAAAGTAAATGAATTAGCCCCTGATGCGATTAAGCGTTTTTTGTTTTAAAACATCACCCGAGCTACTAATAAATCCCGTGTCGCGTTGGATTTTACGGACATTTATGACACGAAGACAAAGAACACTCAGACCCAGAACAACAATTTGTGGATCACACAAAGTGTTGTCTCATGTAGGGATCGAAAACACAACACTCAGCGCAGTAGGAAGTGGCGAGGTGACTGCTTAAACCACTACGCCATCCGTGCAGTCAAAATTTTGTTTTCGTTTAATTTCACACAAGTTTCTACTAAAAAGAAATTGAATTAAATAATGAAATTTTGTAAACACGTTTTCATCCAGAACAATAGTACTACTGTTCTCGAGGTTTGGAAAAGTAACATTAATAAACGAAGGTGAAACGAACGAAAGAAAAATTTTAAAGGTTTTCAAACGTAACACATTGGAACTATATCTTACCTCCATACGGATTCAACTTAGCAAGTTCTGGTGTCAAGCCATTCTTCAGTTCATCTGGACACGGAGACACTTCGATCTTCAACGTGCCAGGTATACACTTCAATTTCTTAGGCGCAGAACTGGGCCTCTTGATCTCAGCCAGAAACTTGTACAGATCCTCATCGCGGAGTTTGTCTGTCTCCTGAACGATTGAAAACATAATGTTTTTTTTTACACGCTTTATATTAGCTTCACTTGTATGGTGTTTTTTTTTTTTTAATATATTCACATAAAAAATACACAATATATGTGAAGTCCCTGACTGCTGAGCTAGGCTCGAAGTCAGTGTGGATGTTTGTTTGTAACCGACTCCTTTGGGCGTGATTTTGACCGACTTTAAACGGTCAGAATTCGTTCAAACTTTGTAGATATATCGAGGACCGATGACAATACACTAATTTATAACTATTATTTTTTTAATATTTTTTCAAATTTGAATAATAACTTTATTGAAAATGTGTCGTAAGAAACAAACGAACACATGTGTAATAGTTACTTTTTAATTACTAAAAGGACAAAGCAATCATGTCGTTAAAATGAAATGTTATGGTGTATACATAAATATCATTGATAGATCGTATCTGAACTATCGCTGCGGTGAAATAAAACGTCGTTATAAAAAATAATTGACACGTAATTTAATGTATCGAAGAATGGACAAAACAGTATAATAAACAGTAAATAAATATATATATAAACAACAATCACATTTAAAGCACACCTGAACACATTACAGACGGATGGATGACTCCCATAACACAGGATGTTCCTAGCATGGGGTCATTGATCAATGATTTTGTGTGTATTCTGTTTCTTTTTTTTTCTAAGTGTATCAATAAGGTGAAATACTATGTATGTACAAGGTAAAAAAGATAAAAGGAAAAGTACTGTGTACCTAACTAACCTAAGAAAATTATGTTGTATTAGAAAATTTGTACTTAATTTGGTGTTATTAAATATTATTATTATTAAAAAAAAAGTGTGCGCAGTAGCAGCTGGTTAGAAGCTAAGTGCACGATCATATGATCTGTGTCTGGGTGTAATTTATCTATACATACAAATAAATAAAATTGAAGTGTCGAATTGTAATGTCAAAATAATTAGTTTTTTTTCATGCTTACACGGTTATTGGCACGATATCTATGCCTAAAAACCAGTTTAAATATTTTTTCTGTCTGTCTTTCTGTCTGTTTGTTAACAGCAATCTTCAAAACGGCTGGACCGATTTTGAAAATATTTTACTATCAAGTGCTTACCCGTCTGCTAGTTTGCCCCCTTGTATCATAAAAAAAATGTGTAAACTCATTATTTTTAATTGTAGTCTGCAACATGTAAATGTTTAATACGGCTCTGTTTAATCCTTCGAAGATAAAGAGGATGCATGGTTGTGTGTGTAACTTGTAATCATCTTAGTGTACCAATAAATTATCGCATTGGGAGCAAAATAAATCAATATCTACGTTAAAAGTTCATCGTCTCCGTCTAATGTTATTAACATTTTATATAATTCGCATAAAATCATCGCAGCATAGCTAACTCTGAACCGCATTTTACATAAATTAGTTATATCAGCTTTGTGCTAATGTAAATGCTTAAAACTAAAGTAAAACGTGGTACACGCATTTTACAAAATCGTCATTACTAATCTATACTTATAAATGTGAAAGTGAATTTTTTGTTTTTTTAACCGATTATTTTTACCGATTTAAAAACCGATTTCAAAAATGCATTTCATTCAGAGTAACATACTTTTACTGCGATAACCGACATAGACGCGGGCTAAGCCGCGGGAAAAACCTAGTTAAAAATAAAAAGAGAAAAAAATTACACAAAAAGGAAAGGGTCTGGTTATGTCATAGAGCTGGCTGAGAAGTAGGCGCGCGCTAAATCCGGGCTTATTAACTCCACCTGCTAACGACATCCACCATCCTTAGTCGGTCGACCTTCGCCGAGTGTCCCCCCCTCCTCCTTTCCCTACTGCTCCGGGATGACACTTAAGTGTGGGTGTGGCCAAGCACCTCACGTCGACTACTAGCTAGGGCTTGCGTCGTCGATGCGCAGAGAGTCGGCTAGGATTCTTTTCCCCAGCCCGCTCAATTCAACCATCCAAACCATTCCCGACCTCCGAGACGCCGGATTACAAGAGACGCCACGCTCCCGGTCGAAGATAATAGCAAATTTTTTGTTCTTATTTCAAGTTGAAGTTGAGGGATCAAATCTCGGTGTATTAATTTGTAGTTTTTTGTTTTATTTGTAGTTTTTGATGTTTCGCAATACTTGTTTGTTTTTTTTTAAATTCAAATCTTGAAAAGATTACTCTAATTAAAAATAGTTTGTATACAAAGTAATACACACGATTTATTTACCTTATTAGCGTGAGACTGTAAAGTATATTAAATAAAAATACTAGTTGTTTCTTGTACCATTGTGGTAACAAAAAATGTTTTTTTTTTTTCATTTATTAAAATCTTGCCAATCCGATTGGAAGTTAAATATTTTTTACAGATTTAAATAAATAAATAAGGTACCACGATAATAAATCGCCAATAACCTTGCTCAAGAATTAAGCTACACTCTAAAATACATATCGTTTAACAATAATTTTGAAAATCATTTAGGCATAATTTATATATTTATAAGAAAAAAAATCAAATTTAGAAAACGAATGAAAACTTCAATTTATACATAATAACGCATTTGTAGCTACGCATAATCAGCTTAAACTGCTAACTTAAATTCAAGTACAATCATCAAACTAGCTTATTTTTTTCAATCTACCCCATTATATGTATATTTCTATGTTTGTAGTTTGGTTATGCTTTCTAACTTTTAGCGTCAATTCCTACACATCAAGTAATTGTTTTTTTTTGTCTGTGTAAATCTATTTTTTCGTATAATTATTCTTTACTATAACTATATTTTCTTATTTCGTGTTTCTAACTTTGAAAATGACAAACCTACATACAACCGCTTATCGCCTATTTTATCCCCTTAAGGGTGAAATTTCCAAAAAATCTTTATTAGTGAGTGGTTCCAACATAAAAAGCGCCAGCTGCCAAAATTTCAAGTTTGCAGCTTTAGCGGTTAAGCTCTGCGTTGATGTTTGATGGTTTGTTTGTTTGAACGCGCTAATCTCAGGAACTACTGGTCCGATTTGAAAAGTTTTATTCAGTGTTAGATAGCCCATTTATCGAGGAAGGCTATATATCATCACGCTAAGACCAATAGGAGCGGAGCACCAATGAAGAATGTTTCAAAAACGGAGAAAATTTATTACTATTGAGAGACGCAGACGAAGTTGCGCGGGTCAGCTAGTTTTATATGTATAGATTAGATCATGGGTTTGATTTCCAAACAGGATAAATAAATTATTGGATGAATACATATATATTGTTGTGTTTACGTGTAATTTATCAAAAATATGTATGAATTTAGCAATTTAAAGCCAATTAGATCCATTTAAAACTGCCTAAACAAATACATTGTTTATTAAATAACAAATAAATAATATAAAATAAATTAAATTAACGAATGTTCCGCTCCGCCCGCGTGTCGATTAACACAGTATAAAGTAGCATATGTTACTCGCTAATAATGTACCTTTCCATTGGTGAAAGAATTTTTAAAATCCGTTTAGTGGTTTAGGCGTGAAAGGCAAACAAACTCACTTTTACATAATTTTATAATATACTAGCGATCCGCCCCGGCTTCGCACGGGTGCAATGTAGATATTACTAATTTGGTGTAAGTGTGAAGTAATTAATTATACTATTATTACGATAAGACTATACTACAGGAAATCTTTATATGCAACATTTTTAGGCCCGCTCCGTTCCTGCCGGGAATGGTTACTGTGGGTTATCCTTAGGAGATAGACATATATTTTTAAAATAAACAATGCACACTAATAGTACCTACACTATTTTGATCTATCTAGTAAGGTTTAGACAGCGTATGAAATTTAAGAGCACAAAAATATGTTTTTTATTTAAAAACAAATTGTAATATATGCTTCAATATTTTTATTTAATAAAAGAAAAAAAATGTTTTCTTATCGGTCACCACGCTCAAAAAGTGTAACTTGAATTAATATCAAAGAAAAACAAATACTGCATAAATAAAATAAATAAATAATTATAATTGCATAAGTTGATACAAAATGCTATGCAATAGCTTTACCGCGGCAGTCCCCGAGTGCCACACGTCTTTTTTTACGATTTTACATTACTAATCTTTATAATTCTTGCATTTCCTCTACTATAATATGCATATATTACACATATGAACGCGCCTCTTGAATCACTCTTTCTATTGATGAAAACCACATTAAAATCCGCTACATAATTCGACAGATCTAAGCGTACAAGAAAAGAAACGACTTCATCTATACAAATAAATAAAATTGGAGTGTCTGTTTGTAATATTAAAATAACCGCTTTTTACTAAATGCATATGTATGTTTACACGGTACATATACCAAAATAACATTTTTTAAATTTTTTGTCTGTCTGTTTGTTCCGGGTAATCTCTGGAACTGCTGGACCGATTTCGACGGGACTTTCACTGGCAGATAGCTGATGACATAAGGAGTAACTTAGGCTACTTTTTTAGACTAGCATCGCCCCGCGGCGTTGCCCGCTCTCAGCTAGTTTTATACTATGTGAAGAAGTATGTATGTGAGATCAGTGAATAATAACGAATAAAACTTCAGAAAACGTTGTGTTGTACAATAAACGGCTCATCTTCACAACTACAATCAGCTATGTTTATAAACTACTCAGTTTTTTTTCCGACTTCAAGAAAAGGAGGAGTTTCTAAATTCGAATATTTAATTTTATGTTTGGTACCTTAGTATCTGCGTCATTTACAAACCGATTTGGATAAATCTTTAATTTTTGTTGGGCTGTATGTCGTACAAAATACAAAGCCGTAGCCAAGGGTGGCAAATAGAAGAATTCACTGATACTTTTCATACATTTACTACTAGAAGGAACACAAAGGGCTATCCTTAAGGTTAACTAGGAAACATTTTAGATTCCAATCAATTGTACCTAGACTGTCAAGTACTAAGAGTTCGCCAGATATTTGTGCTTTTAGGCTATACTAAGGAAACACAGACCAGTTTCTCCACCGGACGATACAAGACGTAAACAAATACCAGTCTTTCATAACATCTTTCACAATACGACTGTAATAAGTACTGTATTGTACAAAGAAATTAACAAACATTTAAATATGCACACCATAACAAACATGAGAGTAAGATGATGGTAAAAAGATGGTTATTAAAACCGGGCTATAATGGTACTGAGAAGTTGATGACATAAAACAAGAAAAAATAATTTCGGATATATATCACACACACACACACACACACCACACACACACACACACACACACACACACACACACCACACACACACACACACACACACCACACACACACACACACACACACACACACACACACACACACACACACACACACACACACACACACACACACACACACACTAAATACACATCCACAGACTCGCACACCAATAAAAGGCAGTTGAACGCAATATGTCCTAATTTATGCTTTATACTATACCTATAAGATTGTCGAATGCTACTTCTAAGATACAGGTCATAACCTAGTTCAGAAGATCGAGTCACTGTATAGTAATAATTAAAACCATCGAATTAATTATGTACCACCAGCTTTGGGCTAAACTTGTGTGTCATATAGGTACATTGTAAAATTAAAAAAAAAAAACAATTCCAATATAAAGTTTATGTATATTTTATGGAAATAATAATTTTTATTAGTTAATTTTATTAAAAGTAACACGCAAAGCGAATAAATTTTAAAATTTCTAGTAAACAAAAGCAAAAGGAAAGGGTCTGGCTATGTTGGTCAGGCTGTAACTAATCGCGCACTCCCGGCCGCGATCCCACTACTGCCCGATACGGAGACTTTTGGCTGCTGGGTTTCCCCCCTGGCCCGGTTCGCCTCTCCTTAGTCAACCTGCGTCCCCCCGACTCCTCGGAGGGATGCATATTAATACCAGGCTTAGTGTGGACGTCCAGTCAACATGAACGACTTAGCAACAGGCTTCCCGACCTCAAGCCATCCCGCAATTCCCGACTTCCGAGTAGCCGGATTACAAGAGACGCCACGCTCCCAGTCGAAATATCAAACGAAAATCTCCTTTCCTATTTCTTATTTACGACAGCGATCAAATCCTTACCACCCTTATGTCTTTTTGTTTTTATATTTGCCCTTATATTTTTATAAATATATTATTCATTATATTTTTGTAATTAATTTGTTATTATTTTTGTGTTTTTTGATGAATATTTAAATTATGTTAAAAGGGTTGGCTGTGGTGAGGGTAGTTTGTGAGCAGCGACATCTAGCGATGCAAAAGTAAACTACGTGACCATTTATAGTCCGTACCATATTTACAGCTCGGTCAGTCATAGAATTTTCAGTGCTGTGGCGCTAGTGTTACCATTAGACCACAGAGCAAATACAAAGATGTGTTGTAATTTGATTTCCCTATGAGACAACGAGTGATAATTTGTAGGGTGAGGGGGTGTTAAGCTCCGTCGACTCCACTTTTTTCCATCTACCAAACAATAGCAAAACGACTCGCATCAATATTTAATTGAGCTTGAGCTGAGAGAGAAACTAGGTGTAAAATGTAAGGGACGTACTCAGAATTTTTGTAGTGTTTTCTTAAGATTAATATTCTGAACCATCTTGATACTTACATCTATTGTAAAAAACTTATTTATATTATAATCGTACTAACCTAGCTAATATCATAAAAGCGAAAGTGTATGTGTTGTTTCATTCTCATTGAATTATCCCACGCTATGTACTGTGTATGTGTTATTTTTCACGTTAAAACGGCTGGACGGATTTGGATAAATTTGGCATATAGATAGATTATGACCTCGATTAACTCATAGGCGCTGGACGTTGCTAGTGTGAGAATAAAAACGTTTACTGCTAAATTACGAATGACGTTTAAAATTTGTTTTCCTACTTATTCTATATTATCTTTTTGTCTTGTCGTAACCCCACTTCGGAGAAAAAAGAGTGTTATGATTTTCATGCATAGTTAAGTATACTTAATATTTTTTAATTAATAAACAAAGTTTAATGAACGTTATTTTAAGACAATCTGAGAAGAAAAATGTTTTTTTTATAAACCTGATAAAATCATAAAAAATTCTACTACTACTTAATTGGATTAATTGTGGATTTTAATTACGGCTCTGTATTTTTGTTCTGTTTATGTGTTTTTCCAGTTGACGATAGATCAACGACGACGACAGGCTGTTCACAAAATGATTACAAAAAAAAATGTTTTAGGGAATAAAAAATTCTTTAGGATTGCATTCCACTATTATTTTATTAAAACTGAACTACGTACCTTTGTATTTTTAGTTTTCATTACACAATCTTTAGCCATCTAGTGACTAATAGAATGTAACTATATTTCAAAAAACACTAAGAGATTTTTCTAGAACTATTTTAATAAATTAAGTATAAAATTACTTACAAATGAAATGTGATGCCATCCATAGCAACAAAACGTCGAACGTCGTACGAAAAAGCACTTTTTTCCCTTTTTTTCTTAATACCACGAACATATACCGATTAGCTATTTCGCGACATAAGTGCACAATACGAACGCTGACAGTGTACTAACTTTAAGTCACGCCCACTGAGATGACGTCAGGACCTAGTTAGAATTACAGTGCACGGTTGCTTAGGCAATTCCTCGCATTACAGATAAAAATATTCTATCATTTTGTCTGCATTTGTTTTTGAGATTTAAGCTAATAAATATAAATTTCGCACTAAGCATAGCATTTCCACAACAAATACTAGTGCTTATAACACAATATTGTTGGGTTCGATCCCGTCCAAGGCAAATTGTTTGATGAGCACAATCATTTGTTCTGTGTCTGGGTGTAATTTTTCTATAATGTGTATGTATTTAGGTATACATAGTATGTTTATCAGCAGGTTACCATAGTACAGGTTTTGTCTAGTTTGGAATCAGACGGCCCTGTAAGACGTGTGAAATTATTGGAGTTTACTTCTTAAGAATCGATTTTCATATAAGGAGCCAGAGAGAGGATAAGCCCGGTTTGAAAACAAAATGAAGAGTAAAATTTTTGTGATCGAATGACCTCGTTACGTTTTTTTTATGCGCAACCCATCGTGCGCACCTTTTACATGTGTGTGTATAACTTGTATAGCAGTGTGCAGCCGAATCGTTCTTAAGGAGTAAACTTCAGTCGTGAGTCGGCGCTGACACACACACTTTTTTATTATTATTAGTCCTGGCTAGGATTCAATACCATGACCTTTGGTTGAGCAGTCAGGGTTGGTAATCTCCAGACCAATAACGCCGACTTGATTTATCTAAGAGTGTTTATTGCGTTATGGAACCTATTTTACAAGCCTTCGTTAGTTTGGGCCTGAATTGCGATAGCTGAAAATATTTACCTAATCTTCCACAGGGTTAGTAACTATTTTATAACATTAAGGGAATAGTGACTACCGCCGCCCATTGATACCTGTCACTCGAAAGATGTGTATATATTGATTTACAGGTGGCATAGGGTGCTGACATTTGAAGAGATAATAATACGCTCTTTTATTGAAGGCTTAAAGGTTTTTTTTTTAAAGGCAATTCCCGCATTAGGAATAAATATCCTGTCTTGACTCATCACACAAAAAAAAACCAGGCCCGTAACCCAGCATTAGAACGACAATTTGCAACAATCCACAACTCAGTTTTTTTTTTTTTTAGTGTAGTAGAAGCCGCGTGGCGACCGCTTAAACCACTACGCCATACGTGCAGTTTCAGCTCGGCGATTTGTCTTACAGGTTGGTTATGCGACGCAAAAAGTTTCAAAGCAAGCACACATTAGTGGAGTGCCAACTATCTAAGTGACTTCTTGCCCGTGGGGTGACGGATTAAGAATACGGAATGTCTCCACCCCTATTCATCCTGTGGGTGTCGTAAGAGCTGACTAAGGGAGCAAACTACGCAGGACAACAACACTGTAAAGAGAAGGAAAACTTGAAACAAACCCTTTACCAATCCGGTGGTATAGTAGCCCAAAACCTCCTTTCTAAGGAGCAGCCTATATCCAGCAATGGACTGAATGCTGTTGATGAAGTGATGAGGATGCGAAAAGCTGCGGCCGGTATAACTCTGTATCAGTCCTCCTGGCCCTCCAATGCCGATTGAAGCTACATATATATTGTTTATACATTTAAATGTACCTGTTTGAAGAAGCTGGTGACGGTGATGACGATGGGCTTGAAGGTGTCGAGCTGGTGCGCCAGATCGTCGGGCAGGTGGGGGGCTGTGCGCCTCTCCACGGAGCCCTTGCGAGTTAGCGATCCCCCCACTTCACCCGCGCGACGTCGCAGTTGCTCCAGGCTGCTCGACGACGCCTTGCGGTCTGCGCACACCAACACTTAATACTATTATTTTGATGAAAATAAAATTTTGAACAGTTATTGTACAATAGTAACACGATTACATTTTTATTAATAGTCTCTTTCGAATAGTCAGTTTTCTAATTTAATGAAATTCATTAAAAAAAATAAAAACTGTAGAATCCATATAGAATTTATATTGTTTCCAACCAAAGCTAATTATTACTACAAAACAAGGAAGTAACAATGATTAAATAATAAATAATGGAATACTCAAAAATCTGAAAACAGTTAATGATTTAGGGATAGCTGTTTTTCTTGAATTGTAGCTAACACATAACATAATGGAGTGTTAAATATCATTATAACTTAGCTAAGTAGTGCACGCGGCTTCGCTTGCGGTAATGTGGATTTTGCTGTCTAATCATGTGTTACACGTATCTAGATGTCAGAACTTTGCCCGAGGGATAACTTAAAATAACTCTCAGGCGGGCTAATCTCCAGGGAAATGCCAGTGCCACTTTTAATTGTAATTTCTAAGTCAACCTTAAAAACGGTGGGAAACTAATGACTACAAATATCTAATCAGTGAGTGAGTGAAAACACAAAATAACACAGTGAACTTAAAAGTAACAGTGAAAATGCAGTGAACTCAATAACGATAAAAACATTCAAAGAGCCGTGTTGTCGCTGAGCTGCGATTTGAGTTCGGATTCAGGTGATAAACAAAATAATATGTTTTTTTAAGAAGCGAATTAAAATAAATCGTAATTTTATGTGAATGGAAGTGTTTTTTTATGTTTCGTTTTATACTAAAATAATATGAATGCGGCGCTAGTGTGCCGTCTATAAATGTTTTTTAATCTGTGGTTGCTCTTTTTACATAGCTTTGTAAGAAATATAGTTTTTAGTAAAAGCATATCATATAAATGTAGCTTAGGACAAAAATGATCTCGGTATAGTTATTGTAATGAACGTGGTAAGCTTGAGATATTGTTTTTTTCTGACAGCATGGCACGATTGGCTAAGAAAAAGCTATGTGGGGAAGCGCGAGAGAGATGAATGAAAAATATATTGAAACAATTACCCGGCGTTTCTGTTTCCAGGGTTAGCGTGAAAATTAAAAAATACAATTTTGAAATAGTGATGGCCGAATTACTAAAATAATAATAATAATACATAGAATATTGAAAGCTGTGTTAAATTTATATACCTGGTGCTTGTCTAAAAGGTAAGCTTCTTATATACAAGAGCTGTTGGTATCAAAAGGACCTGATCTATATTTAGGCTAAAATTTTTACATTATCCTCGGCGGACTGCCTGGGTGTTACAGTGATAGCGTATGCGACTGCTGTGTTGGAGGTCTCGGGTTCTATTGCTGGGTCGGACCAAATGTTTGTATGATGTGCAATTTTTTTTTTCGGAATGGGTGTTTTCTCTCTTTCTCTGCTCTGCTTAGTTTGAAACTAGGTGGCCTTGTGTGTCAGATGACGGATAATATTATTATTAGTATAATGCGGTGACTGACCGAGGCTGTTGGTGTTGGGGGGCGCGGCGGGGTCCCGGTCTTGGTCGCGCTCGAGGCTGTTGGAGCCGGTGAGGATGTTGAGCAGCGCCACGGCGCTCCAGGCCAGCGGCATGCGGTACTTGCCCAGCCGCGCGCATGCGCCCAGCGCGCTCGCGCGGACCTTCTCGCGGTTCTGCCCACCACAACACACTCTTAGTACAAAAAGGTAACAAAAGAACTGAGAAGTCACCTCATGGCAAGCGACTAAATCTTTGGCACACAAACAGACAGAAAAGTCGCTATAAATTTAAACAAAAACCAACCTTGTCATCCTTGATATAAGGTTCAACACATTCATTGACATCTCCCTGTAGCACCTTCTCGACTCTGACGACCAGAAACATGTCGGGGGAGGGGTTCAGTATGTCGAAGACGGCACTTCGACTGAACGTAGAGAGGTCCGCGTGGGGAACATGAGAGGAGAGCATCTGCCTGGTGCAGTCCGAGTTAAGATTGAAGTAGAAGTTTTCTGATAATTTCCTTTTCTCTTTGGCGTCGTAGAGTGCCATCGATGCGAAGAGTGGCTCGACGTCCAGTTCCAGTCTAGAATAGAGAGTACATAACATTTGGATAGGTAGTGCCATCTAGTGACATATAGCGGAACTTAATCAGCATATTCAAAACTGCAGTTGCAAAATAAGGACATTTACAAAGCTGCGAGTTCATTCAAATACAATTTATTTATGTAACTTTGTACACTTTTGTACATCGGCGTACTTAATGGCTAGGGCATTCTTTTCCAGTCAACCTTTGGGTGGTGTAGAAATCTTGCAAGGCAGGTTCACATAGATTGCGTCATAATATCAAGTGTCCAATGAAAATATATACGGTTCACTACATATACATAGATACACATACATATATATGTATATATATATTTTATTTATTTATTTACAATTTATGCACAAATGTGATAAAGGCGGACTTAATGCCGTAGGCATTTTCTCCCAGTCAACCTTAGGGTGATGCAGAGCTAAAACATGGTAGATGCACAAAATAAATTAAAAATGTGATTTTATGAAAAATATAGCATATATAGGATATCATATACCCAGAGTATTTTTATTAATTACATATTTAATATGTATATTTAGTCAAAAATTAAATAATAATATTAAATAAAATTATATGTGTATTCTTCTTTTCTTTTCTATATTTATTTAATCACTTTATAAAAGACTAGCTGACGATGCAAACGTTGTTTTGCTATTTACATTATTTAAATTATTATTATTATTATTTGAATTTCTTAAAATCCTTTCTTAGCTGACCTCTACTCGGTGAAAAGAATATTCCTACCAAATTGGAAGTCTTTATCTCTCATGGTTCCAGAGATATCGTGATGAGTGACTATATACGTGGAAATCTCTTATATATATGGATATGTCAACAGTGGTTTTAAGCTTTTTTGAATATATTATGGAACTACCATAACTCACTTTAATTGATGGCACACGACCAATATCCTATGTCCCATAATCTCACAAGGCATTTCAGCTGCTAGTCTTCTTTCAACTGCCTCTTCTTCATCCAAATACGGCGTGTACAGGCCTAGCAGATCAGGTTGACGGTTCTCTAATCTGAAATTAAAAAAAAAATTGTAACCAAAACTCAGATAAGCAAGATACCGCTTTTTTTTGCTATTATATATTTGTGTTAGCAAAATCCTTTTAGACAATTTTTAAAGCATTGAATTTGCAAATGTTTTTCCATAACATGCAAGAAGCTTTTTGACATGCAAGAAATGGATTTAATCCACGAGACGCAAATAATATTAAAAGTTAAAGAAAGTTGATTATAACCTAATAATTAGGTTATAATTATTTTTGTAGATCACACAAAATGTTGTCTCATGTGGGATTCAAACCCACAACACTCAGCGCAGTAAACTAAACTAAACCACTTTGCTATCCGTGCAGTCAAATTATTTACACATATTTAAAAAAACAAGGCAGTTTTTTCAAAATATACATTTTCTATATAAAATTTTGGTTACCTCCTGGCTTCATTAAGTGCATCAATCTGCTCCGGTGGTTTTCTCTCGAACAGATCCGGTAGCAGTGGGTCTGATGAAGAGCTACGCAGATCCAAGCTAGCCCAAGAGCCGCGAGGAGTCAGCGTTTCGTTGCAAGATGATGATGAGGATATTGAAGCCACGGACTGACGACCGCTGGACGGTTGAGATTCTGAGAACTTAAAACGACAAAATATTACATCACATCAACAGCCTTTAATAGTCCACTGCTGGACATAGGCCTCTCCTTAGAAAGGTTTTAAAAAAAAATATTACATGATTTTCATATTTTTTTATATAGCAAAAGAAGCGATAAAATAATTGAACCGTTTTTTAAATAGGTTTGTTTTTTTCTTTGCAAGTAGTCAATGAGGCAGATTAAAAAAAAAAAGTTTGAAAGGAATTTGAAAAGATAGATCTTCACATTTTTCGATGCTTACGGTGGTTTTATTTTAGTTCATACGATGTAATGTGAGCTTTAACATTAAGTCATAAAACTCAAAATTTGGATAAGTGTGCCTTCATGGGCCACGGCATTTACCACAGCTCCATACATTTATTATTAGAAGTCATTCAGGCTTATGTCTAGCGTCCTTTAGCTGAAACAATGGTGATGATATATTCTCACCTGCTGTGAAGCTAGTTCTTCTGTAGACGCCGTATGACATTCATCGATTTCATAAGTGTGCCTAGGTCCACTGTGCAACTTCTCCAGTCTTTCCCCAAGACGTTCCCTTCCGAATGTTGATCCTGAGTATGCTCTGTATTTGTACTCAACCACGGTGTAGTCGGTGGTGTAGCAACGTATACAGTCGCGAACGAACATGGGGGCTTTGGCACTGGAAAGGAAAATTGTGTTGTTTAAAACACTTTCTTAGCTCAATCTATTGGTTAAGTTTTGCTATTCGGCTCGGGTATCTCAAAAACGAATTCGTCAAATTTTGAATGTAGGTAAGGTACCTTAGATTGATGTATTTCCTGTTGAAAGAGACTCGTTTATTACTTATACGCAAGTCAAATCCCATACTTTTATTATATATTTGAAAGTAAGTTTATTATTTTGTTTGTTACGCTTTCAAGCCTAAATATCTAAACCAGGGATTCACAAACTATGTTGGGCAAGAAACCCCCTTTCTAAAATGAACTGATACCTCAGACCCCCATAGCCAAATTACTACAAGCTTATCGACTTGTTGAGTTTTTGTAAGGTAGAACAATGATACTTTTCAAAAATGTTAGTTATAAAAAGTCGGTAAACGTAACACAACTATTACAGTATCTTAAAAGTTTTAAATAAAAACTGTGTTAATTAATAGGGGTCGATTTTTAGACCTCGTCGACCCTCAAAATACGTTTTCGTTTATTCAGAACCTTGGGAGACCGATTTTGAACCCAAGGGGTCGATATCGGTCACTTTAGGAATACCTGCACTAAACTGATTTAAAAAATTGTTTGTTTGTTTTTGTTTTTAAAAAGACAACGCCCGCATTAGGAATTAATCCTGTGTCGCGGGGGACTTTACAAACATACATGAAACGGACACAAAGAACACCCAGACTCAGAACAACAATTTGTGGATCACACAAAGTGTCGTCCCGTGTGGGGTTTGAACCCACAACACTCGGCGTAGTAGGAAGCGGCGTGGCGACCGCTTAAACCACTACGCCATCCGTGCAGTCAATTCAATTCAGTCAAAGTCATTCAATTCTTTCACTAATGATAGGCTACAGTATCAGCGAGTGACATAGGCTACTTTTTACCGCGATAATCGACATACACGGGGGCATACAGAAGCTCGTAATTGAAATAAATATTCAAGAAGTCACTCAAAGCCTGAATATAATTGAGCATTAAATCTCCACAGATAGACGTGAAACCGCGTGCGCTCCTTGTTTTATACAAATAACACGCCTTCCCTGGATTCCTCTGGAGGAACGGGTGTCATGTCCGTCCAACATAAAGGGAGGATCCAGGCGAGTTGATCATATCTGGCGGGCTGCGGCCCAACGGTTTATGTTGCGAAGTTTTAACATGTTTATGCTAATCGGCGTGAGAATTATTCATACCGCGATACAGGATTAGCAATTACTCTGTAGTTCGGTGTGTCTCCATTAGATGGCGCTTTAGTATGTTTTTGTTACATGGTATGTGGAATTCGCCACACACTCACAGATTACAGGACAGCAAGCGGAAAGATGTTACAAATCAAAAAGTTAAGATATCTTTAAGTAATACTCACAGGTCTTCATCAGGGAGCACATGTGTTATGGTCCTTATGCGTCGTGGCACGTTACACAGCTCCATGTCAGCTGATGGGTAAATGAGCGGGTCCCGCTCACCCATCAGCCTCTCACATACCTCTTCATAATCCGGTGGTTCAATCATGTCGCACAGTGATATCTGTATTATACATAGGCTTTAATGTAATAATAGGCAACCATACCTACACATATTTTAGCTTTTTAGAAGACAGAAATCTATACTAATTTTATAAAGCTGAAGAGTCTGTTTGTTTGTTTGTTTGAACGCTCTAATCTTAGGAACTACTGGTCCGATTTAAAAAATTCTTTCAGTGTTAGATAGCCCATTTATCGAGGAAGGCTATAGGCTATATATCATTACGCTAAGACCAATAGGAGCGGAGCACCAATGAAGAATGTTTCAAAAACGGAGAAAATTTATTACTATTGAGCGACGCAGACGAAGTTGCGCGGGTCAGCTAGTCTCACACACTGCCGTCTAATCCCAAACTAGGCAGAGCCTGTACTATGTTAACCAGACCGGTAATAAATAACCTTATAAATTTCTAAATACATACATATTATAGATAAGTTACACCCAGACAGAGAAGAAACGATCATGCTTATCACACAATTATTTATCCTGGGTGGGAATCAAACCCCCAATCTCTGGCTTGGCTGTCAGGGTCACTAACCACTACACCAAGAGGCCTCCATAATAATACCCATAGTAGTTTATAGAAGCATAGACAATGTAAGAGTGTCCCATGCTAACAAATATTATACTGGAGAAGTTGTTCGTTAAGCTTTCACACCTTAAACAATCATCATGTAATATTACATACTTGGTCAGGAATACAATAGATTGAGTTCATACCTGCAATTGCTTGATTACTAGTCTGATTCTTTAGCTAATATGCTACTGTCACTAAAATGTTCATATTAGTTGTGTACATGTTAGTTACATACAGCAAATGAAATACCTAGGTTTACGTTACCTTCCAGGTTTATGTTACCTTTCAGGTTTACGTTACCCTACTGGTTTACGTTATTCTGGTGAGTATATTAATATATGTTTACACATGAGAGTCGTATATAATTAATTTCTTCACTCATACATTTGTAAATTATTATTTTTTTCAAAATCATTCCGCATTATTCGTTTCAATTTCTCTAGTATTTGTTCATTAAAATCAACAGGTACTTCATAATTTTAATATTGTATGATGCAATGTATAAATGTCTAGTCTCTCAATAAAGAAAGCAGACAAAGAATGTGTTTCAAATATATAGTGCATACTAAGTTTTACATTGTACTAAAAACTTTTGTGAGTGTTTCATATTTTTATAAATGTGAAAGGCAGTTAGTTCGTTCTTACGCTTTCAGGCCTGTGTGCATGAACATTTAATGTTTGATTTGTCCTGGGTGTTTCTATGTATAATAAGTATGTATTTACAAAAAAAGTAATAAGTATTTATATCAGTTGTCTAGTACCCATAGTACGAGCTCTGCTTAGTTTGGGACTAGATGGCCTTGTGTGAATGTGGTACAATATTATTATATTATTTTTTCTTATACCCGTTAAGAATTTAATTAATAAATCACACAGGTAACTTATAAATAAATGGCAATAAGGTAAAAAAAATGTTTTTTAAGAAATATATTTGGCTACTCTCTCCTACTTTGCTGTGTAAAACAAGACCCAATAACTAGATACTAAAACGTTTTATAAAATTAGAGTGTAATTAAGATTGAAGGTGAAATATAAGGCCATGCATGAAAATTTAATTTAAAAATATTTAGTATTTTGAGGGAATGTTATAGAGTTGTGGTGACAAGGGTTAGAAGGAATCACAAATTCATTGGCATTCATTTGTTTACCTTAAGATCGTCAACTAAAAACATAAACAAAAGATAAGAAATATAATTTGTTTGCTAACTAAAACCCAAACAGAAACTAGCCAAGATTAGTAAAAAATATTTATATATAACTCATTAGTAGATACGTAAAAGCAATGAATAGAAACCAGCAATCAATTAGTAAACAAAATAAGGCACACCCTACTAATAAGGACAGGAGAACACAGCCAAGGATGAATCATAGGAATGAACACCATATTAGTGGGATGACTTACTGAGGACGAGCACCCAGAGAGAGTCCCGACCTTTGACTGGTTAGAATACGCCTTACGAACCTCCCCAGCATTCCTATAAATAGGCAAAAATCAATTTTATTCTATTTAAAATACTGTTCATGCATCGCTAGCGGGGACATTGGAACAAGGACAGGGGAGCCATTTACCCGGAAGATTGCTGGTATTTACGTCCCAAAGTCATCTAAAGTAACTTACTAAGCTTCTAACTTAGTGTAATATGATAATTATTGATTGTTTTACATATGATTCCGTTAAAAAACAAACATTCACAAATTTCTTGTTTACTCCTTTGACATTTACTGACAGCTATAAACAGCAAAAGTCAATGTTGCTATGTGAAAACTGTTTAAGTACAGTCCAATGATTAGTCAACAACTTTACTTTATTACACGCTTTATATTATCTTCACTTGTGTGTTTGTATGTTTGTAACCGACTCCTTTGGGCGTGATTTTGACTGACTTTAAACGGTCGTTCAAACTTTGTAGATATATCGAGGGCCGATGACAATACACAAATTAAAAAAAAAAAAACATAGTTTTAAAAAACTGTTGTCAACAGTAAAAAGCACCCCACGCTTTTTTTGAAATTTATTTTCTATTTTTTAGTTTGATTTTCTATAGACAGCGTGTTTTTTTAGTTTTTTTTAAACTATAATTATTATTTTTTAAATCACATTATAAATTATTTCATTACAAAACAATAGACTAGATTTTAATATTTAAATTAATAAAACAAAATATTTATTATGAACAGCTAACGGTTGGAGTAACTGTAGCATGAACAAGGAAAAGGTAAAGTTTTTGAATTATATCTTGGACTTCAATATCTATTTCATAACTAATTTTAGGTGGATTTCTTCTCGGCTTGAGTTACGAACTTTGTACATTGACACATCTGTCTGAAATATTAAGTCTTCTTGTGACGTTCTGTATTTTTACACTTGGGCTTCATTCAAATTACGTTCCACAAAGAAAATATGTTATAATGAGTTGGAACTTGACTTGTAAATGAAGGAGTGAGGCCAAAGAAAATCCTTTGACTATGGCCTATGACGGCTATAACTAACGTAGTAAGTTTGAAAAATATTGAGTTTATTATTTTTACCTTTAATTTAGTCTTCGAAGTCAATTTACACTAGTTTTTGGAGTGTTCTAAGCAGTAATAGTGATGTGCCGGATTTTAGTATCTTCACCTATTGATATCCGCGGCTATTCTAGGAAGAAAAAAATTCTTACTGTATAGGTATTTCAGATCTCTAGTAGGTACAACAAATCATGCAAAAATTTGTATAGGAACTTGTGAGAGCTTACTTATTTATGAACTACCTTTCGATCTTTCATATTCATAGATCGAGTACATACCTATCATACGTACATTATCATATTTCATTCTCGATTATATTGTATGTTGAGCAAGGGCGTATTTTGAAATTTGGCGCCCGAGGCCAATAAGTTTCGCCGCCCCAGAAACCAAGAGAAAAACGATTAAAATTAAAAATACATTTTTTTTTAATTTCAATAACGTCTACATTTTTTTGCGGTGCACAAATTTATTTACAATGTCATTATTGATGATTTTGTTACTTAGTTGTTTTGTTTAATCGGCTTCAATATTGAGAATTGCTAAACTATTTAAACGTTCTTCAAAAATCTGTGAGCGAAGATAATTCTTCTCTTTTGAAAATGACCTTTCTGTATTAGTGACAAACTGCAGTGCACAAAAAGATGCGTAGCTAAATTTCCGTGTATGGAAAAGCTTTAGAGATTTAGCTGTCTCAAGCTCATATTTTGTTCATTCGATTTCAAAAATGTTTTAAGAGAACACATTCTTCTTGTAAATCTTCCGCAAGATCTTACGGGTATGATTGCTGCAGATTTTTGGCGTGAAGTCAGAGATGCGCTTCAGACAATATATTTATTTTAGACAAAAATGCAAAATGTTCGGTTACTGGGTCATATAAAATCTTGCGCCGCTTTAGCTCTCCCAACAGTTGCTCGCATACAGGAAAGAAGGCATATCTATATTGAAAATGCAACCAAATACAGTATTGAAGCCAGGGCTAATATTATAGCTTTATGTGGGCTTAATATCTGAAATATCCAGGGAAACCCGCTTAAGTTAAGTTATTTTGATGCACTGCGTGATGATAATTGTGGTGTATGATTTTATTTTATAATCTCTCGAAATGTCTGGTAACAATATTTTTTTTTAGAAAAAAAGCTGTGAGACGTTGAGTGAAAAGATTTTTAACCAGTCGCTACTTGTTAATCAGTCTCATCATCATCATCAACAGCCTATAAAAGTCCACAGCTGAACATGGGCCTCTCCTTAGAAAGGAGGTTTTGGCTTACACCAGCCTCAGCGATGCTTAATGGTTGGTGAATGTGTGTGTGACACAAATGGTTCCAAACCAACTAGACTCCAATTACGTCGAGGTTTCGAACGACATAAAGCTACCTACTTTGCTGTTTGCTCCCTAGCTGCTAGTTTATCCCGTGGAAGAATTTAGTGAACTTATTTTATTTAAGATAACTGCGATATACCTGGTATTATGAGTGAATGGATTCAGTCTCATCACGTTAAGATTACCCCATGGCCAGCGCGATACCCTGATCTAAACCGTATAGAAAACGTAAGGTGTTTAGTGGCTGCGTCTGGTGCATGCGTCAACGTCTTATTGTATTATAAACAATGGAGGTCACACTTAGAATTAACAAAACTAAACGTTAAATTCAAATTAGGGGATGCGCTAGCTGCAATAGTAATAAGTTTATAATTGTAAAACAGAGGTCAAGTTTCAATCTTCTTTTCCTTGAGAAAATGAACATATTAAACTCAACCTTTATAATCAACAAGAACAAATTGTATAACCAAAATAGTTTATGAAAATATTAAACTAAATGTTTAGTTTCTTTTAAAGGTTTATAATAATATAAATAAAATATCTTATGAAAAATAATAACTTTGTTATTAAATTACATATTATACCTTTTTTTCCGTAAGCTGCAGTCAGTTATTTTAAAGTAACAGAGTTAAAAAATATATCCTGACATGAAAACAAAAAGTTCAAAAAGTGATCAGGCACTGAGGCTCGAACAGTCACCACTCGTCATCTATGTGTGGAAGTAAGCTAATCTTAGTATTACACCACTGGTTCTAAGGACTACTGAGTTAAATTTAAGTAAAAGTTAGATGAATTGCGCTAAAACCAAAGCAAAAAGTAGTGGGCCAGGGCCTACGCCGCCCCTAGACCAATGTGCGCCTTGGGCCATGGCCCGGATGGCTCTAGGGTAAATACATCCCTGGTGTTGAGTGACTAGAATATCTTTACAATTTTAAGTTTTTCAATTTAAAAAGCCGTGTGGTGTCGTGGGACACCCGATAGGAACGAAGTTGTGACGATCGAGTAAAACTGATTCGACACGATTTTAATTACAACGCCATCTATGAAAGCGGCTATTACCTACATATTTTTCAGTTGGTTTCTAATTAAAACAATTTATACATTGGTAAAATCTCCTTGAGAAATGATGTCGAATACAATATTTTTTGCTCAACCTAAGAACATAAATTTTAATTTTACTGATGAAAAGTAATGATTTCCTATCTATTCGATAGATGGCGCTGAATGACTGACAAGTGACAATTCAAAATAAATAGTGTCGTTACAACTTTTCGTGAGATTTTTTTCCGTCTAGCCCCCTTTCACAAAGCGCGATAAGGAACTTCGTTCCAACATGTAGAGGAACGTGTAAAGGAACATATTTTCAAAAAAGTCAATTTCTTTATTCGTTACAAAAGTTAGGTGCCTATTGCTCTCTTTCACAGAAAAAAGTAACGTTTCAAAATAAATTTATTTTAGGTAGATACTAACTCAATAATCCAGATACGAACCTAACATGTCCAGCCTACCGAGTACTTGTAGTTTCATGCTTGGCCTTAAATTACTTAAATGATTCGAATAATTAATAATGCTGCCTGCAATCTATACCTACATACCTACTAGTCATTGCATAAACTATATCATTTTTAAGCCTTTAATGGTCCACTTCTGGACATGGGCTTCTTCTTAGAAAGGAGGTTTTGGCATACTATACCACGCTGGCCAGATAGGTCGGTATAGGGTTTGTGTCAAGTTTTCCTTCTTTTTGCAGTGCTGGTGTCCTGCGTTGTTTTGCGCCTTTAGTCGGCTCTTACGACACCCACGGGATGATTCGGGGTAGTGACATTTTGTATTCTTAATCCGTCACTACACGGAAGCTGTTCAACTATTGGAAATATTTGCTAACATTAGGACGCTGTTTACATCCCAGAAATCCCTACTACAGAGCGAGGAGAAGCGCGGCGGTGAGGTGAGGAAGCCCCGCGGCTCAACCAACATTCACAAACCGAGAAACGAGTTTAAACTTGCATGTGCAGTATGTATGTCTGCAGGATATCTAGCGGTTGTGAATGAAAACAAAGTCCAAATATCTCGTTTTCCCTAAAATGTATGAAATAGCTGTGATATTATTATATATTATTTTCAATGGAACTGTGTTGCCCATTAGCCAATCAGTCAAGGATCTCGGTCTGCACATAGACCCAACCCTTAATTGGCAAACGCAGGTAACTAGCGTCAGTCAGAAGGTAACGAATATTTTGAGGGGATTTTACCGCCTGAAAAATTTACTCCAAGTGAAAACAAAAACGATGCTGGTACAGACCTTAATTTTCCCAATCATCGACTATGGTGATGTGTGTTACCTCAACCTGAATGCAGATCTGCTCAATAAATTAGACCGACTTCTCAACAACTGCATTCGGTTCATATTCAACCTGCGAAAGTACGATCATGTATCCGCTTATCGCAGGCAATTGTCATGGCTACCTATACAAGTATTTACAGACTTACAGCTGGGTATCTCGAATTCCGAGATTCTTACCTAATTTAAGCTTAAATGACTGGACTATATAAGACAGCGCCGCAGTTTGCGGGTGCTGACTATGTTGCACTCCCTTCTCCACACACCTACCTCACCTACTTACTTAACATCCCACCTGCAATATCTCTGCTCCAACCATGACAGAAGCCTGAATGACGCAAGCTTTATGGAGACTTGTTGACGGAGTCATCAAAATAACCCCTTGTGTGTTCATCAACGCAGGCATATATGTATGGATGTATGTGTGTATGTTT